ATGCCTTGGCAGGTATGGTGAGGCCAGGGTTGGGGGCCGGGAGCGGGGTAGGAGTGGTCATAGACGGGGCAAACGCATGAGCACCGGCTTGCGAGTGGGAAAGAAACCCGCGAAGGATCCACAGCAGCATAAACTCCGCGAGAAATATATAATGAGGTGGAAGGATTGCTTGGGGCAGGATGGCTGAGTCCGTGACATGGTGGAGAGTGGAGAATCAGACAGCGGGTGCTCTCAATACAGCCGCCAGGGCAGCCTCCAAGTTATTAGGATCTCATTGTGGGACCAGCTCAGAGGCTCAGGTCTAGGAAATAAATAATGAGGAATACACGTATACATACATGTATGAGGCAGCTCTCTGGTCTAGGTAACAGTCCATTGCTCAATAAACCAGACTTTAAAGAAGGTTATCGGGTCCATCCTTTTTGCGCACAGATTTTAAGTGTATATTTGCATTTCTGAAAATGAGACAGAGAACTACTCAACTGCAATATGCCTCATTCTGGAACGACCTGACTTATACACATTTGGGGTTGCAGGGAACATTGTGTCAGGCCTGGCTGGGGAGAGTCAGTTGTCTGAAAATATTCACTGGAGTCCAGGCTCTCTGTGATCGCCTGCGGGCCATGCGGGCTGTCCCTGGGGTTCACATGTGCTCATGAAATGCAGGTACCCTGGCTGCCAACACCCAAGTTTGGAGGAGGCAGGTGGAGGCTGAGGTCTAGGGTCATGAGCAGGCTGTGTGCCTGGAAACCTAGGGGAGCAGGTGGGTTTGGTGGATCGATTTGCCTTGGGAAAAGTGTACAGGAATGGCTTTCTCTTCCTTGATTATATTTTTAGTAAAGTTGCCATCAGGGCCCACGGTGAGCAGGAAAGCAAGCAGAGCAGTCACAGAGGCTTGTTAATTTTAGGTGTGACAGCCACATGGAGAAAGTGTCTTTAGAGGCTGCAAGGCTGAAATTGTAGGAAAACGATAGGCTTTGGATCATCCTGAGACAAACAGTCAGCTAGGTGTGGGTCATCCGGCTAGATTTTTATTAGTATTTTGCACAGAAAGCAGTATTCAAATCAGGTGCGGTCATGGCCTTTGGTGGCCGGGTGCCAAATAGCAGGAAGACTGGGCATTTCCACGTTGTGCTCTGGACTGAACTGCCATCCTTCCTCCCCCCAAGCTACACCGAAACCTGATGGAGGCATTTGTTGGAAAGACAAGTGGGTATGCAACAACTTTTATGATTTATCGCCCTTGGTTGGTGAGTCCTGCCACTCATTTTTGTATTTCTAATCTTATTGGTTCGCTTCAGTTTTTCAGCCTTAGCAGCCCCAGCAGTGGGCTAATTGCATTACTATTCGGCTGCTCTGGGTCTTTTTAGGATCAGGGCTGCTCCATTGGAACTTGCTGTAGCGGAACGGAGTCCACAAACGCCTTGTGTGGAACCCCTCAAATTGTCACACCCCATGACAACACTAACACAGAGGAACCAGAGGAGACTTTGGAGTGATGCTTTGGTTTCTCATTTTGGAGGGAAGAGGGAAGGGAGCAGGTAGGTTTGGTGGATCGATTTGCCTTGGGAAAAGTGTCCAGGAATGGCTTTCTCTTCCTTGATTATAGTTTTAGTAAAGTTGCCAAAAATTGGGATTTGCATAGAATAAAAGCCCGGGGTTTATTTGGCAGTCTCTTTCCTGTTTCTGTATCCTGTAACCACAGTAACAAGACTTCTTAGGATTGTAGATTTTTAAGAAGAAAATTTTGATTTAATTGTTAGTAACTATTGCAGATTACAGGAACCACTGTCTCTGTGTGTTTTAATTTTCCACGTTCAAATGAATAAGCCCTTAGCTGCCTTTTTGTTCAGCCTGCATGCACATGATCACCTTAGCCCTGAAGTTACTCATTCTTTCCCACCTCCCAGGAGAGGATTGGAGGACACATAGTCATACCAGGGAAGGAGGGCCCTCTAGTGGAAAACCATCAGGGCCCACCGTGAGCAGGAAAGCAAGCTGAGCAGTCACAGAGGCTTGTTAATTTAGTCTAGGGGTCCTCAAACTTTTTAAACAGGGGGCCAGTTCACTGTCCCTCAGACCGTTGGAGGGCCGGACTATAGTTTAAAAAAAAACTATGAACAAATTCCTATGCACATTGCACATATCTTATTTTGAAGTAAAAAAACAAAACGGGAACAAATACAATATTTGTATTTGCATGTGGCCCGCGGGCCGTAGTTTGAAGACCCCTGATTTAGTCCCTCGAGTTGGACTGCATCACGCAAACATGACGTGCCTTGCCATGTCCTCCCACTGATTTGAAGCCTGTCCTGTGGACTCATCAAGAACATCTTGAGACCTGTGCTAAGTTGGGAATCTGTTCAATAGCATAACCCTAAGGACATACAACATTGTTCACAGCCCTCCCTGAAAAGCCTAGGGTGGGCAAGGTGGGGGTAGGGGGGTGAATTTTGATAATATATTTAAAAATCGAGTCTAAACTAATCAAGATGACCCCCTGTAGGTCACTAGGGCCAGGGTGTGCTCATCTCTAGTTCTTTAAGCAGAAGAACGCCCCTTTCTCACTCTGCCTTCCTCGGGGCCAGCACCTGAGCCGGGTCGTGACTGTCATTATAATTCACGGTGCTGGTCACCTTGCAACTAGGAAAAAAGGGACAAAGGACGTTCTCCCCGACCCCTGACCGTAACACACATCTGAGATGACAAGGCCAGGTTCTTAGGAAAATGTTCCTACCCTCTTGTCTAGGGTCGTGATACTTCTGTTGATCCTTTCTTCCTGTCACTAATGATTTATGAACAACATTTAAAAATAAAATTTAAAAATCTCAAAACATTGTGGTTTAAAATAACGTATGGATGTCTATGTTTTATATGTGTGGGGGTTTTAAGCATGCTGTGTGGGAAATCCCCTGTGTGCATGTGTATGCTTACATGCATTCCCAGAAACGATGTAGCAGTAGGGGTGGGGTCCCTTGCTCAGAGCTCTACTGTTGACCAGGAGTCCCTCTCGAGGATTCAAAATGCATGTCTCCAGGCAGTGAGAACCGACTCCGAGCCTGTGTCCTTCCGATTCAGCCCAGGAAAATGCCGACTCGGCACATTTTAGCTAAAACCACATTGCCTTTGTTTCTAGTCTGTGACACTGAGGAGTCTCTGACTGTCTAGTAAGCAAACCTGGTTTGTCCTTTTATGAACAACGACAACAATAACAAAACAAAAAGGCCGCAAGGATTCATGAGTCTTATCTATATTTCAAGAACCTTCTAAGGGCTCATATCTTCCTTGCAGCCTGCTGAGATCATCCTGGCAAATATGGCCATTTCTGAATTCTCAGGGGCCTTCCTCTCTGTGAGACTCACATGGGTGCTCGGCCATATGCTGCATGATGTAGTGGCCTAACTCCGTGCATGTATGTCCTAACTCCCTGTACATGTGTATCATAATCCTAGGTCAGTGGTTCTCAACCTTCCTAATGCCGCGACCCTTTAATACAGTTCCTCATGTTGTGGTGACCCCCAACCATAAAATTATTTTCGTTGCTACTTCATAACTGTAATTTTGCTACTGTTATGAATCGTCATGTAAATATCTGATATGCAGGATGTATTTTCATTGTTACAAATTGAACATAATTAAAGCATAGTGATTAATCACAAAAACAATCTCAATCACTGTTTACTGGGTGAATGAATGAATAGTGAATGGTGAGTGAGTGAATGAACTAGACCTAGGACAGCGGTTCTCAACCTGTGGGTCACGACCCCTTTGGGGGTCGAACGACCCTTTCACAGGGGTTGCCTAAGACCATCGGAAAACACATATATAATGTTTACCAGCTCTCGGGTCACGTGGTACAAACCCTCCAACTTCGGAGGATCCTCCTGGCTGTGTCTTCCAATGCAGCCCCCCACCTCCACCCCCTTATTTGCCACCAACCTACGTGTGTAGTTTCTGGTGCTCCCTGGTTCTGATAGCCCATGAAGACCCCTGCCGTGTCAGCTTGAGCTGCAATGGAAGTGAAACCGTTGGACCTCGGGGCTACTTGCAGAGTTAGGATAAAGGTTATTCTCACAAACATATTTATGAAGCAAGTGAGCAGTCAGTGAGACACTTATTCCAATGATGGCACATGCCCTGGATGGCAAGTACAAAGCACATGGCCTTGGGGATTTAGCACATCTGGATTTGAGCCCAGCCCTGTGGCCTTGAACAGACAAGTTCATCGTCTCAGTTTTCTCATCTGTACAATGAAGGCAAGTTCACTGGACACTCACGGGTTTTATGAGGCTTAGAGTGATGCACCCAGGCACCTTCCTGAAATCCCCTGCCCTCCCTTCCTCCCCAGTTATATGACCCCTCTGGGTCCCAGTTCTCCCCTTTGCTGCGTGCTCACATGAAGGTCGTCATCCTTCTCTCAAAACCAGCTCCTCAAGGCCAAACCTGCTTCCATTGTGAGACATGACGGGCCACCCACAGCAGGCAGCATGAGTACCAGGGGACTGCGCGCTACTTCGTGCCACTTAGGAGAATAACCCAGGGCACAACAGGGCCACAGGACCAGCTCCGTCATCAGGCTGGGGTCAGCAAGGGCGTGGCCCAGAGGGGACCTGGGACACCGGGCAGGGTGATCACTCAGAATCCGGCAGCCTGGGTCAGGAGCGCCTGGACTGAATGAACCCCGGGCCCGCATGCGGCCTTAACTCTGAGGAGGGAGAGGGTCTGTGACTTAGGCTTCCTTGAGTCGTGCAGGAGTGTGAGCATAAGGAAGAGTCCATTCTAGGTCCCCAGGGAGAGGGGTGTGAGCAGCAGGAGCTAAGTGTCCACCGGGTCTTGGGCGTAAACGCCTAGAGATCAAGGTGAGATGGCCTCAGGAACGGTGCAGCCAGGGCACGCAGGTGAGGTGGACGATGGAGGTAAACCTGACAGCAGACAGGACTTTGGGCTTCTCTGCACATGTTCTGTGTGATTATAATCGCATCCCTCTTACTCCCTTACAGGCGAGTACAGAAGCTTCCAGCTTGAGAAAGGCCGATCCCAAAGGTCGAAGTGCACTGTTGGCTGATATCCAGCAAGGAACTCGCCTTCGGAAAGTCACGCAGATCAATGACCGCAGTGCCCCGCAAATCGAAAGTAAGTGCGCACCTGGGCCAGGACCGCCCTGAGCCCCGGGAGCATGGGAGCTCAGCCAGACACGCGCCCCCCCCCCCCCCCCCTCGCTCGGGGCAGGGGCCACGTCTGTTACCAGGACAGCATCGGGCCCTCTCAGACCTGCTCAGTGTGCAGGCCACGCGGCCGAGAGTCGGAGCGTCCCTCCAGGGGTGCTGGCAGTTTGTAGGGCGTCCTCGGTCACCATCACTCTTCAAGTGCTTAAAAATATCACAGTCATTATAAAATACACGGTCTATAGCATTCACCATTTTAACCATTGAAAGTCTTCAGTTCAGTGGCATTTAAACATTCACAGTGTGGTTGCAGCCATCACCTACTTCTAATTCCAGAACATTCCATCACCCCAAAAGGAAACCCCGTATCCATTAGCAGTCCCTCCCTACTCCCCTCATCCCCCAATCCCTGGCAACCACTAAGTCTGCTTTCTGCCTCTATGGACGCTTTCATTGAGCAGCATGTTTTCAAGGTCCATCCATGTAGCAGGAACCAGTCCTTCATTCCTTTTTATTAACTAATATTTCATTTTAGGATTTAACACTTTGTTTCTCCATTGTGAGGTAACATTTAAACTTCATTGTGTCAAAATAGTCCTCAAACTCAATGAGAGGAAACATAAAGTCTCAACATTAAAGAGTGCAAAGTTTCTGTTTTGCACAAGGAAAAAGATGTATTCAGAATTCTCTCACAGGCTCAAAGGACTGCAGCTTTCTATGTCTTCAGGTGAACGGAGCCCTGGGCTCAGGTCAGGTGACTTCTGATTCTGCTACCGGGCCAGGGGACCTCTTCGGGACCTCTTCGGGACTCAGTGTGCTCACCTGCAAAATGGGAGAGATAATAATACCTGCTCTTTTTTGTGTGTGTCAAGATAGTGGAAGGTTGAAATAATATATGCGGAACTGTTTATCAATGCCAGGTATTATTATGTCTTCACACATTTTTTCAATGGTGAGCATGATGTCAATTCTCAAAGATAGTCCTAAAAATATAATTGTATCTAGTATCTGTAATTATATATGTTAATACACAAGGATAGACAAATTAAGAAATCTTTCCAACAATTACAATAAAAATTAGTTTCTGGCGAGACCCACTAACTAATTGGTTAAGCCCAATGAACAGAGAAGTCCATTTTGTAGGAACACTCACTTCCTAATCATTGCAATGAGCAGGTAATAGGTAGTCCCGGTATTTAGAATAATCTGGCCATGTTCGTCCACCAATGGGCGCTGTGCCTTAATTTCTCCACAGTAGCACATTAGCTTTAGGTCACCATGGTTTTCTGCCAGGAATCCTTGTCTAGCTGAATGTCTTCTCATCTTAAGTAGATGGTATCACACGCGTCCGGAAGGCTGGAAGTAGTGACGCCTCTCCTTCGGGCTCATTAGCCTTCTCTTCCGTAGACATTAAGGACGGGTGTGGGGCTGGGCAGGGAGAGCTCAGGAAAGAAAAATGCTGAAGCACAAGTCAGTGTGTGGCTTCACTTCCTGCCTGCAGTTCGGGAAGTTACAATTAAGACCTGCATTAAATCTGTGGGTTCTCTCTGCCTATCCTCCCACCGCCACAGTCATGTTGAAAACAGGACCAGCCCTGCACCGATGATGTTTGGGTTTTCTCATTTGAAAGGCGCCGCCGGTTCCTCCATTGGCATCTACTAACTGGCAGTGGATAGGCCCCTGGGTTCGGTCACTTTTCAGAATCATCAGCTACCAATGGCTGGTCCTTTGGTAGACCCAGCGAGGGCAGCACACAGGCCCGGGCACCAGTCTGCAGGGCATCGAGGCAGAGGGTGTTTGGGAAAGATGCCGTCAGAAGGGTAACACGGAGGTGAGCGGACAGGAAGGCTGTCCCGGGCAGGGTCCGACCACAGCCCGGGTGAGAATTGGCGGCTTCGCTCTGCTCCCAGGTCCTCATCTATGGCCTCTTCTCTCTAAAGGTTCTAAAGGAGCCAACAAAGAAGGAGGAGGTCCTGCAAACTCTCGAGGAGGGAGCACGCCGCCAGCCCTGGGAGATCTGTTTGCTGGCGGCTTCCCTGTGTTGCGACCGGCAGGCCAGCGGGATGCAGCAGGTAAGGAGGAATCGGCCTGGTTCTCTTGCGACCTTCATCTCCTTCGCCTGTAGACCCACCTGGGCCACGCTTCACATGCCAGGAAGTGGCATGTCTTCAGTGAAGAGCTGTGTGGTAGGAGATCATGCATTTGGGAGCCCAAGCACCGGAAGTTTCCCAGGCACAGAATTGTGCTCGAGGGATCTTTTAAATCATCCTCCTGTTTAAATCCTCCCCTTGTAATAAATGAAGAATGACTGGCCATAGTGCACAGTGTTTAGTGATGGTGTGATCGTGGCCCAGACTGCAAAGTACAGCAGAAGGTGTAAGTCACATTAGTGGCATCGCTGTGGCCTCACTGACAATGAATGAGTCATAAGGGTCTCAGCCATTGTGGCAGTTAGGTATTGCTGTGTAACAAAATGCCCTAAAATGTAGGGGCTTTTGACAACCATTTATTTAGCTTATAATGCTTGAGTTGGCAATGTAGGGTGGTCTCAGCTAGGCCCCCTGTAGTATCTAGTATCTACAGGTTGGGTAGGTGTGTCTGCTCACCTTCTCTCTCATATCTTTGGTGCCTGACTGAGCCATATGGTCCCTCAGTATGTGGCAGACTGTTCGGAGTTTGTTTTCATAGTGGTGGCAAGGTTCCAACAGAGAGGACAGAAGTATATAAAGTCTCTTGAGGCTTAGATTTGGAATTGGCATAGTATTGCTCCTATTACATCCTCATTTCCAAAGCAAGTCACAAGGCCGGGCAGAGACAAGGGTGGGAAAAGAGACTTCATCTCTTGGTGAGAGGAGGGGTAAGATCACATTTAAAGGTTTTACAACCAGAAACAAGTGGCTAATCAAGGCCATTTTTGCAAGCAGTCTACCACAGTCATTTGTGTTTGAGTGGGAGTCATGTTTTAAACAAATACTGCATTAGAACCCCTATGTTCATAGCAGCACAATTCTCCATAGCTAAGATTTGGAAACAACCCAAGTGCCCATCAGCAGATGAGGGGATTAAAAAACTGTGGTACACAATGGAATACTATGCCGCTGTAAAAAAGAAGGAACTTTTACTATTTGCAACAGCATGGATGGAACTGGAGAGCATTATGCTAAGCAAAATAAGCCAGTCAGAGAAAGATAAATATCACATGATCTCACTCATATTTGGGTTATAATGATCAACATAAATTGATAAACAGAAATAGATCCAGAGATAAATGGCAGGGGGGGAGGGGTTTAGAGTTTAACCAAAGGACTTGTGTGCATCCATATTAGCATAACCAATGCTTACAGACACTGGGGCAGTGAGGGCTTGCCCTCTGGGGTGGGGTCAATCGGGGAAAAAGGAGACATATATAAAACTTTAGAAAATAAAAAAAGAAGAAAAAAATATATTGCATTAGAATTAGGAAAATATATATTGTGTGCAAAAAATAGTGGATTTCTTTTTTTGTTTTTTTAATAAACTCAATGAATTTCAATAATCCAGGGAATATCAAGCCCCCAAAATTCCTGGTATAAAATCTTCTACCGTGTGACTTTGCTCACTTTTATGGGCTCCGTGGCTGTTTGACATAGGGATGCATTTGCTGCCGTCACCTATTGGTCAAGTCCAGCACAGACAAGGGCTGTAGGATGCTTTGAAATCCAACTTGAATCTTCTCAGAGGCCATTTCATTTCATCATTTTTGCTGAGGGTTTGTCAGACAAGAAAGCCCCAAGGTCCTCCTGAGACCTGGCATTCTTCTACGTCCACATTTTTTCAAACTTCCTTCACGTTGTCAACAAAATATCGTTCAGGATATAAAAATCCCACTAGTTCCTCTTCTCAGAAATAACCCCAGTCAGGTGATAACAGGGATCAGACTAAGGAAGCCAACAGTCTCCAATAGGACACACACGTCAGGTGTTTGAGCCATTCTGTGAAGTGGAGCATTGGTCTCTTTAGAGGAGATGGAAATCCTTGATGACGGGACTAAGAATGCTTGTAATAGGAGGGAAGATCAACAGGTAGATGCGTGGGCTTAGTGCCCTGTCAGGGTGAGGTACCATGGCTCTTCTCTCTCAGAACTCTCCCATCGGCCCCCTTATCATTCAGAGAAAAGGACTTTGGCTTTTGCTGTCTCTCTTCTTGCTTACCACTCTCACTGGCCCAAGCCCTGCACTCCAGCCACACCCTGCCCTCCTTGCTGTTCTTGCGCAAACCAGGCATATTGCTGCCACAGGGCCCTTGCACTTACTGCTCCCTTGGCCTGAAACACTCCTCCCCAGGTGTCCACATGGCTCACTATCTCCTTCAGATCTCTGCTCAAGTGGCATCTGATCAACCTATCAGTGGGGCTCCATTCATCATCCATATAAAATTAGTCCCACCCTGTCATTCTGTATCTCCTCTATCTTGACTTATTTTTCTTGTATTACTTGCCACCATTGGACCTATTATCATTTACTGGTTTATTTTGTGTCTGCTCTCTCTAAATGTATTCTCCATGAAGGCAGGAACTGTGATTTGTTCACCGCCTTAAAAATGCCTGGCACATAGTAGGTGCTCAGTAAATACTTGTTGAGTGAAATGTGTGCGTGGGCGGCATGGTTGCTCGGAGCCATTAGGCCCAGAGAGCACAGTGTCTAGTACTCACAATACTTTTAGGGGCCCATGAAAACATTTGAATTTCTTTTAAAGTCGAATGTGTAATGAGACTTCCGTGCAATCCAAGGTTTTTTGGAAACGTGTGCACATTGAAAGAAGATGACTGACTTCATCTTCTGTTAACCCCCGGGGCTCTGAACGCTAATTCCTCTCCTATCAGCGCAGCCTCCTGTGTGCGCTCCGGCTGGCCTTCCCCGCCCGACTCATGGTCTCCTCCTGTGTTTCTGTTTGGGTTTCTAGGGCTAGTGCGTATGCTAAGCTGGAAAGTCTCCACCCTCCCTTCCCTTGGCACTCACTGCCGAGCTCTCTGCTGGCCCAGTGCCCGGCTGCTTTCGTCGCCTGCACTCACGCCATCAGCTCCTCTCTCTCCTGTCTGTCTCACCTTAAGCGCACGCTGCCAGGTCTGCGCGCGTTCCCAGAGTGGGCATGAACACAAGCCGAAGGAGGGCCAGTGCCCTCCTCGCTTCTGCGGCTCATGCTGCGATAAAAATGGGCTTGCCCGTTTCTCGTTGGTCTGGCTGCGTCGTAAGCAGAGGCCTCCTGCACTTTGAACTGACTCTCTTTACAGGGTTTTGAATCTTGGAGACATGGTGTCCTCAGCCACTTAGAAAGTTTGGGTGGGTCATTCCGGGGCTGATTCTGTTCCTCACCTTTGTTATCCCTTTACAGTTCGCGCAGCGACGGGGCATAGGGAGGCCTTGCCTTGTTTAGGGAGCTGCCTGGGCTCTCCGCCTTCCTCTCTATGGACTAAGGAAGCAGGTTTGAGAAGTCAGAGGCAGGAATCCCTGAGCCTGGCGGCTGCCCTTGAGCTCACATAGAATGTTGGATATCCAGGAGGTAGAAGGCCACTGGGGGCTTTCCCTCCCCTCATGTTCAGCCAAGCTGCTCAGGCAGTGCCTGCCTTAGACGCCCAGGGGATCGAGTCAGCCAGGGTGGGCACATCCAAGCAAAGGCAGCTCTTCCAGACCCCTCACAGGAAATCCTCAACAGGAATAATAACTCCACTGCCCCGCCTCCAGGCAGCCCTTCCACCGCCGAGACCTGTAATGAGTAGTGCTGTCCAGGTGGCTGTCACATCATAGCCTGACACCGCAGCCCTGCCCACTTAGCCTCAGCCGAGTCAGCTGGACCACACCTTGCTCTGATGGCCTGGCTTTTGGCATCCCATACGCTGGGGTGTAGGGTGTGGCGCCTCATTGGGAAAACACACAGAGACTCATCGACTGACAGGCTCAGAGCCACCAGCAGAGGCTGGGGTAGGAATCCGATGGGGAAACTGTGTTTCCTAGTCTGCAGCCCCAGGAGGTTGGAGGTGTGGGAGCACGCATGCTTTCAAGGGCTTTCCGCACGTTTTCTTGGGGATTGTAAACAGCAGGGTGCTGAGACTGGGAAAAAGCATCCCCCCGAATTCCTCTTAGTGAGAGCTCTGTATTTGTTGGGAAGAAATACTTTTACTGCCTCCTAAATGGAAGCATCAGTGATTACAAAACTTCTGTACGATAAACAGAAGGACAGAGGGACAGAACTACCTTGGTGACGCAAGGGTGTGCGACGCGGCAAGGCCACTCCCGGGAGCACCCTCCTCACCCGGCTTCCGGGAAGCCCACCCAACACAGTGCCGACTGTAGGCCGTATGGTGTGGAATCCACCAGGGTCTGGGCTTCCCGTTGGGGTCAATGTGGTGGAGGCTCCATGGAGTGAGGAAGCCAGGAGACCAGGAGGCAGCGAGCCCCTTAGAGATGGGCACACGTCTTTGGGGAAGGGAGCTTGCCACTCCCAGAGGCCAGCAGATGGGGAGGTTCAAAGTCATTGGACCTGGATCCCCAAGGACCTGGATCTTCCCACTGGCTTTGGACTTACCCTTATACAGTGATGGCTAACCTATGACACGCGTGTCAGAGGTGACACACGAACTCATTTTTTCGGTTGATTTTTCTTTGTTAAATGGCATTTAAATAGCATATAAATCTTTGTTTTACTATGGTTGCAAATATCAAAAAGTTTCTGTATGTGACACGGCACCAGAGTTAAGTTAGGGTTTTTCAAAATGCTGACACGCCGAGCTCAAAAGGTTCGCCATCACTGACCTTATATATTCAGGGAAGCAGGAAGCTTCTGCTCTCGATGCAAAATCCATGTTCACAAATGCGGGGAGTGAGGAACATCCTGCTTACCAGGAGAGTCTGGTTGACACCCAAGGACCCAAACTAGGACCTATGGGCTGATGGACCCAGTGGGCGAGAGTGACTGAGTGTGAGGGGACCTTGAGGTGAGGAGGGCGGAGGAGCTGGAGCAGTCCTGTGCCTGGGCTGGGGGGCCTGGCAGATGCGGGCCTGCTGGAGGCAGTAGGAAGGCTGGTGGCTGAGCTGGGCTCGTCTCCGAGGAGGACAGCACCGTGATGCTGGCCAGGACCCTGCAGCTGGTCAGCGGGCCTCTTGGGTGACGGCTGCTGCCCCTGAGGCCTCTCGATGGACGTGCAGGGAGAATGCGATTCACCGACATCATGCCTGAGAGCGCTGGGCATTGCTACCCTCACACCTGGGGTTCCTCTTTCCTCCCTCGCTGAGCTAACGCGGAACTTGTTTCACTTTCAGGTGGCAAGACAGGGCAGGCCCCTGGCTCCCGAGCGCCTTCTCCCCGGCTTCCCACCAAAACTATCAGCGGGCCGCTCAACGCCCCAGCGTCTCCCAGGCTAGGCACTGCCTCGGAGGCCAGGACGGCCCCTCCTCGCCCCAGCGTGCCTGCCCCACCTCCTCCCACCTCGCCCCCACCACCCCCACCGCTACCCCCGCCCCTGCCCCCTTCCTCCCCCATCAAAGCTCCGTTGGTGTCCCCACCTGGCTCACAGACCAAAGGGAATGCCCTGGTAGTTGCACCCGCTCTGCCCTCTGCACCGCCCGCTGCCCCTCCGCCTCCCCCTCCGCCTCCGCCCCCTCTCCCAACGCCACCCCCTCTTCCCCAGACCTCCATTCTCAGTGACAAGACAGTGAAGCCACAGCTAGCCCCCTTGCACTTCTCGCCCATCCCACCCCCGCTTCCTCTCCTTCCACCCTGTGGGTACCCAGGGCTCCATGCGGATGCTGCTAGCCCCACCCATGATGCCCGGGAGCCTCCTGCCCCACCACCTCCCCCGCCGCCCCCTCCACCACCACTCCCCCTTTACACCTCCTGCACCCCGAGGTCCTTGGTGCCATCGCCCCCTATGCCAGGCACTAACAACAGCAGCGAGGCCCCACCCCCTCTGCCCCCCAAGTCCCCCAGCTTCCAGGCGCAGCCCCCGAAGCCCAGCGTGCAGGCCTTACCCGCCCCGCCTGCCCCACCTGGACAGCCCTTCCTGCAGAAGAAGAGGCCGGGCCGAGGCCCAGGTGAGTGCCACTGTCCGGGTCCAGGGTGGCCAGACAGGAGGGTCACCAGATGTTGCTGGCAGTCGGGGAAGTGCCAGGGCCACAGCCAGAGACCTGCTCCTGTGAGCCTCTTGGGACTACCTTGTGATGCCTTACGCTGGCCTTTTGGTTTAGAACAGACCCCTTCAGTGCCGCTGTGGAGTGTAATAAAGCCTGGCTGTGGGACTTTAGCTGCGGTGTTCATGTTAGAGGCAGGAAATCAAGGCTGAGGGCGGCTGGGAGACCTGTCCACGGTGATGCAGATCACAGGCCAGGGAATCTGGCCTAGATCCCCTCGCCTTTCCTAGCTGTGTGACCCTGGACAGTCACAGCCTCTCTGTGCTTCTCCTTCTCCCCTGTGAAGAGGGGATAGCAGTAGCGCCCCCTCAGGCAGTTGTTGGAACAGGCCCGACAGCAGGGAGATCTAGAGGGGGTTATTTATTCTTCCCATCACCTCCAGTCCCCAGACCTCCTCCCTGGGGCGGAGGGGCTGTGATGCATTTGCTTCAGAACCAGCTTCCTGTTCAATTTTTCCTGAGTTATTTCAGCCTGGCTCCCAGCCAGCAGGTCACCGGCCCTCAGGAGGGTGGATCAGTGTTCTGCCTCTTTTTTTTTTTTTTTTTTTTTTGGCAGGTTCTCCTGCTGACTCAAGGAAATGGAGGGTCTGTATTTCAGCCAAATATTAAAAGTAATTCCTTTAGCTTTGATTTGCGATTGAGCACACACACCTGCCCCATGACTGATGTCCATGTAGTGCAATGGCTTCGTTCACTCTTGGTGGCTGTCTGAATGGGAAGTGCTCACACACATCCACACGCACACATGCAAACACACTCATAAATACCCCAATGTTATATTTACAAACACCCACACATGCACCCAACACACACCCACACGTATACACATGTTCCTTGATCTTTCAGAAAATTCTTTGATGCGTGAAATTTCTTAAATGTATTTATTTGCATTAAAAATAACAAAAGCTCATCGTAGAGCAAATAGGAAGAAATTTAAATCACCTACCGTATAATAACATCACCCAGAAGTAAAAACGGTCATATTTGGATGTGTGTTACTTCTTTTTTTCTGAATGTACCTATGCATTTGCATAGTTAATACCATTTTGTGTATAATATTTTCTATTCTGTTTTATCTATTATTTTAAAAGCAATTTGTCCAATCTTTAAAACTTATTTATAAGCATATTAACATGATAATCAGAACGTACCCTATTCTCAGTGTTAGATGTTAAAGTTGATTCCCTTTTTGGTTATTGTGAATAATACTGCAGGAAATACTTTTATAGCAGTGGTTCCCCTTTTGGGGCTGTGCCATCTGAAGATGAGGATGGACATTGTCATTAAGATTATTGCAGCAGCTAACCTTTATTGAGCCCTTACTACATGCAACTTCCTTCACTCAACAACTCTAGCAGGTGTGTGTGTGTGTGTGTGTGTGTGTGTGTGTGCGCGCGCTATTATTATTCCCATTGGACAGAGGAGAAAACTGAGGCACAAAGAGGTTGTGTTATTATCCCAGTGGGAGAACTGGGATTCAGTCCAAGCAGGTTGGCTCCAGAGGCAGCCTTTTTCCTCACCATTTCATCTTACATCTGCAGTCTCAATACCTCACCCCTCACAGCATTCTAGTATCTGAATACTCAAATCATCTTCTCTGTCAGGTACCAGTGGGGGGAAGCTGAACCCACCCCCAGCGCCCCCTGCGCGATCTCCCACCACAGAGCTCTCCAGCAGGAGCCAGCAGGCCCCAGGCTGGACCCCGACACCACAGCCAGGAGGTCAGCTGCGGAACGGAGGCCTACACATGCACATCATTGGTAAGCGGGGCCGTGGGCTGCCGTGCAACTGCCGGGAAGGGCGTGGTTCCCTGTCCCAGGAGGAAGCCCGCCCGCCAGGGTGCGTGCTTTGCAAGAACAGGGTGCTCACTGTAGCATAGAACAGCCCACAGGTTGTGTTAAATACTGGGTTTCCCTGGAGGCTTTCTGGAGGGTTCCAGAACCCACTCTGAACCTTATGATTGAGTTTAAAGAGAGGGAAGAAAACAAATATCAAAGCTGTGTCTGTCTCCATGGAGAAAGAAACCCATGCATAAGGCTGAAAGGGTAGAGTGATTTGGATGAGGAGAATGAATGGACAGAAGGCCCAGCAGGCAGGGGGACAATGAGGGCAAAAATATGGAGATAGGAAGGAAAGTCACATGGTGTCAGATGTGACCAAAAATCTTTGGATCCCTTTGTGGGTTGAGCTACTGTCAGACACAAAGCCTGGATCATAAAGCAGGGACTCAACCACTGACAAGGCCACACCTCCTTCCCCTTGCCATCAAGGGCTCAGGACAGAGCCCGCTTGCTTTGGGGACCTGGGTTAGTCCATATGGACACAGGCCATGCTCCATCTCACCAGCCAGGCTGGGACTCCCGTTCAGCACACTCCTCCCCAGGAGGGGCTTCAGGCCGTGGGGACTCTGCTGTCCCTGTGCCTGCCACGTTCCCCGCCTCTGACCCTGGCACCTGGAGAGCCCTGTGGCTCTTCGGCTCCCTTTGGAAGCTTCCGTAAGATGTTGGTGGGCGTCAGTTGGGGTGGGTGATGGGGAGAGTCTGTTGATTTCATTTTTCCTGATTCCCCTTGTCCCAGCTAAACAGTAAAAATTGAGCAGTGGATGGAGGTCTGGGGGGAATAGCTCCACCATTGAAACCCTAGCACTGGGCAGGCCAACCTGTGCGCTGGGAAATTTCCCGACTTGGGTCATCACAACAACCGAATAACCTTGCTGTTTCCCGCGTGTGCAGATGACTTCGAGTCTAAATTCACGTTCCATTCTGTGGAAGACTTTCCTCCTCCGGATGAGTACAAGCCCTGCCAGAAGATTTACCCCAGCAAGATCCCCCGAAGTAAGTACCGCCCTCATGTTGCCAGGACCCCTGGTTCTCCCTGACTCTCCAGCATCCGGTGCTTGGCGTGTGTTCACTGGCTACAGGCTGCCTCTCAGAGATTACTGATGCCTCTCTCACTGTGCTGGACCATGATTCAGTGCCGTCCATACGTCTGAAGTTCCAGAACACTTATCAGTCCCAGTCCCCAAGGCTTCACTTAGAGCAGGGGTTCTCAACCTTCTGGTCCTTTAAATACAGTTCCTCATGTTGTGACCCAACCATAAAATTATTTTCGTTGCTACTTCATAACTGTAACGTTGCTACTGTTACGAATCGTAATGTAAATATCTGATATGCAGGATGGTCTTAGGCGACCCCTGTGAAAGGGTCGTTCGACCGCCAAAGGGGTCGTGACCCACAGGTTGAGAACCAATGACTTAGAGGCTTTTACACAATACCAGAGTTAATCGTTTAATCATATTTGGGTGAATTCACCACTGATCCCTCCCCTCTCTGGGGCTTTTGACTGGGGAGCTAAACACCCCAAGGAAAATGGGATGCAGGAACTTGGCATTGGTAGCCTGGAAGAACCCTAAGAACCGCCATCTGGCAGACAGTGAAACGAGCGTGTCCTCAGGCCAAAGGCTCTCAACCCTGGCTACACAACAGAATGACCTAGAGAACTTAAAAACCCTGAAGGCCAGGCTGCACTAGACCAGCCAAGTTAGAATTCCTAGGTAGGGCCAGGGTGTTGGCGATTTCGAAAGCTGCTCGTCGATTCTGATGTCCAGCTAAGGCTGAAGGTCTCCCCTGGTGAGAGCTGCCGCCTTCTGGCTTCATCGTGTGGCCAGGCTCCGAGGGAGGCCTTCCCTCAGCTGAGCTGTTCAGCCCCAAGAGTGCAAGAGGGAGGGGCTGGCGTCCTGCCCCTCAGGCCCAAAGGCCAGGAAGGCAAGGCTTTAGGAAGCAAAGCAAAGCGAGGTGGGGTGTTGACCGCACACTGATCCTGCTGAATCGGCTTGAAACATGAGCTGATTCGTGTCTGGTGCTGAGCCAATCCGATTGGACAGGAGCTGGTAAGACAGGACAGAGTCAGCAACACGGGGGAGAGTGGAATGTGCTCCCCACCCACAAGCTGAGGAAGGCCTCCAGCCCCAGGCTTCCGTGGGCCAGCGTGGAAAACTGTAAAATCATCAGAGTCCGGGCTTAGCCCAAGGCCAGGCATCCTTGAGCCTCTTTCACAAGGACTTGGTGAGGCCCCTTCTCCAGGGTTCAGCTTCCCGCTAGTTTGCAGCTGTTCTGTTACACCCCAACTGCAACACACAAATGTGACCCCCTGGCCCCTGGAGGCGTTTTCAGTGGCCGACCCCTAGGAGAAGCCAGAGGTCAGCAGACGTTTCCTTTGAAGGGTCAGAGGTGACATAATTGAGGTTCTGCAGGCCATATGGTCTCTGCCACTACTACTAGCTTCTGCCATTTCCACGTGAAAGCAACCATTGGCAGTGTGTAAATAAATGAATGGGCATGGCTGTGTTCCAATAATACTTTATTCACAAACACAGGTGCTGTCTGGATTTGATCTGCTGGCCATACTCTGCTGATCTCTGTCCCAAACCATTCCAGCAGGCAGGTTCTTCAAAGTCTCCTGTTACACAGCCTTTGCCAGTGTGCTACGGAGTCCTTCTACCTGCAGGCTCAGGAAATGCTCCTGTGAGGTTTCTGTGCGTTGAGCCCGTGGTGCCCAGTCTCATCTCTGAGAATAAGAAAAGCTCTGCCCACACACAGCTGGCCAGGAGGGCGCAGTTGGCAGTCTGTGCTGAGTTCCTCTCAACACAAATCAGTGCCCAGACCCAAACACGGGCTCCTGATACTTGGGGAGGTTAGAAGGAACAAGAGGAGGAGAAACCTACTAAATGAGCTGACATCCTGCAGAGCAGAAATGGCATCTGTGATTAGCAGACATCGCCTTCTACACAATTCAATTAGCATGTCCCTGCCATCCCCGCGAGCCGGGGGGGTAGAACCTTGTTAATTATGTCAGTGTGAATCTGCGAAGGGTCAGGCCTGTCCCATTACATTTCTCCTTACTGTTTCCTCCTGCTACCCCCTGGCCTGGCTCCCCAGGTTAGCGTTCTTCGAGGTCTGGGAGCCAGCGTTGGTTCTGCCGGATGAGTGTTTGCCAGCATTTCCTTCCCTTTTAAGGCTGAAAAATATCCTGCGGTTGGATGCTCCACATTCTCTTTTATCCGTTCATCCACCAGTGGACACTTGCCCTGCCTCTACCTCTCAGCACTTGTTAAAATGCCGCTGAACATGGGTATACGATTATCTCTCTGAGACCCAGCTTTCACTCTTTGTGTGCATCCCCAGGAGTAGAATTGCTGGATCATAGGGAAAGTCTGCTTTTAATGTGGGGGGTGTGGGGAGCCCACCAGAGTGTTTTCCATTGTCCATTCCCATCGACAGTGCATACGGAGAGATGCAGAGCGTTCCTTTCTGTTGTGTGAGGAAAGCGATTCTCCTCTAGCTCTGCTGCTGTTAACAGTGGTGTTTAGGAAAACCAGGGAGCATGGCTGAGCGATGGAGGGGCCTGTAGTATTGCCCAGTGGTTCTCCCGGCGGGGGGCGGGGGGGGGGCGCGGGAGACACCTGCCCCCAGAGGACCCTGGTGCTGTCTGGAGACAGGTTTTGTTGTTGCAGATGGTCTGGGGCATAGAGGATGTGCTACTGGCATCTGGGATCATGCTGAACAGCCCGCAGCTCACAGGCAGGCCACACACCACCAGCCCCAAATGAGCCACATTAAGAAACCCTGGCCTAGAGGAAGCCTCTTCTGTGGTCGCCTGGAGTTTTTTAAACCTAAGAACAGCCAGTTCAAGGTCAGACAGCCACGTGGAATTAGGGCTGTAAATCAGTGACTTTTTACTTTTCATTTAGTTAAGAAACTGGCTAAAAATCTAGCACTCTCTATGTCATTTACCTGAAAATATCTTTATTCAAGAATAAATGCAGTCCTAGCTGGTTTGGCTCAGTGGATAGAGCATCGGCCTGCGGACCCAAGGGTCCTGGGTTTGATTCTGTCAAGGGCATGTACCTTGGTTGCAGGCTCCTCCCTGGCCCGGGCCCTGGTCAGGGCACGTGCAGGAGGCAACCAATCGATGTGTTCCTCTCACATCAATATTTCTCCCTGTCTTTCCTTCTCTCTTCCCCTCTCTCTAAAAATCAATGGAAAAATATCCTTGGGTGAAGATTCTAAAAAAAGAACAGGTGCACTCATTTATTTAAAAAGCACTTTAGTGGGAATTACAGAGCCCGTTGGATTCGGGGTGTGGCAGTTGCAGAGACCTCCTGTGAGAGAGTTCTCTGAGAAAACCGTGTCCTGCCTCAACAGGTTCCCAAGACCACATCTGGGTTCTTATAGAAAACTGAAAAGGTGTTCTTAGGAGATTAAAGCAAACCAGCTGGTCCAGGAAGAATCAATTCAGTCTGTGACACATACTTTTATGAATTTTAAAAATAGTTCTGGTCATTCTCCTTAGACAATTCCCAGCCTGCTTTTCCTCCCAGGGAGCACACACAGCAGCTGGCGTGTTCGGATGACTGCTATTCTTGGAATGCCACCCCAAATTCTCTGATCCTTTGTAAACATTCACACAGCTGCTATGACTCCTTCAGAGGAAGATTCCCGGACACTTCAGACTCCCGGACCCTTTTCTTGAACGCGGGTTGTCATCAGGTTTTCAGTCTTAGAAATAATTTGCGATGGCTGTTCCTGCTGCTCACGCTGCTCTGTGAGGAGCACCGCAGTGGGGGTGTCCGGAGGACTTGGGGAGGTGGTTCTTTAATTCTCGTCTGTGGCAGAAGCAGGACAGAGGGTCTTGTACCAAATGCAGCAGGAGAAGCGACTTCAGGACCACCGTTCGGAACACCTGACTCAGGAGAAGTCCTCACAGGAACGTCAGGGAATGTGGATTAAAACTCAGCCATAAAAGTATATGAAAATAAATAAGTAAAACTCAGCCAGACCAGTGAGACCATATATATGCGTATATACGCCTGTACCTACACGGTAAATCCCAAATGGAAGAGTATCTGCAGGGATAAACACCAGACTCGGAGCAGCGGTGACTCTGGGATGGAAAATGGGGATTGGGTGGAGGGGTAGGCAGAGAGGGCCACTTATGGTTGGTTTTCTTTCTCCTGTTACGTTCTGTATTTGAAGTCTCCATTATGAGAATATATATAACTTGTGTAATATTTCAACACAGGTGACTGACAACATGTACTTACCTTTGGCTCTTTTTCAAAGCAAGGCCAGCGCTGTGGGTGGCACGTTTGGGTGCTGGGGCTGGCGGGTGTCTGAGCTAAGATGCTGTCTGTCTAGACACTGAGACGACAGGCCTCCGTGGCTTGTCCCCCCCACCCCAGCACGCTGGATGTGGCCCATAGATGCGCAGTCCGGGACCCAGAAGCAGTGTGGAAACACACAGTCTGGGGCCAGCAGCTGCAGGTCTCAAGTGGGCCGGCTCACATTGCTCTGGTTCCTTTGCTGCTACTGTCAGCACTGTGAGCACCAGTCTAGCCCGCGTCTCTGTGCCGTGCACAGCCGGGCCCTGCGCCAGCAGATGGTGAGATTGTCCCCATGCCTTTCAGGCCGTACACCTGGTCCCTGGCTCCACGCTGAGGCTGCTGGGCAGAGCTCCGATGACATCAAAGGCAGAAACTCTCAGGTAACGCGTCCCTCAGGTCCCTCGGAGACGGTGAGGGTATGTCGTCTCCTAACGGCTTCACCCCTTTCCTCAGGGAGAGCCACGGGGTGTGCCTTTGTTTCCTGCTGGAATGACACTCAGAACTTTAAAACCTAAAGAGTGAGGGTGGGGGGTGGTCCCTGGAATCGCCACCACATAACCCCTGTGGACTCATCTGCAGTCACCATGTCTACTCCCCATTCATTCTGCCTCCTATGTCAGCTCGAGCAGCCTGAGAGACTGTAACATTTATAAAACATAGTTCCATGTTCTCTCTCATACATAGAATACATGGTTCCTTACCCTGGGGGGGGGGGGGCGTTCTTTACTCATCAATATTATAATATTTTAAAACTTTTTTTATTGAGCATTTTTATTTGAAACTAGAGGCCCAGTGCACAGATTCATGCATGGGTGGGGTCCGGCCAACCAGCCCTGATGGGGGCTGATCAGCTGTGGGAGGTTGGCCAGCTGGCCCTGCCCCTCCCTGATTGGGGTCGGGGGCCGATCCAGGCCCCTATCGGGCTGGTTGGCCACTGCACTGTGTATCATAGCAACCAGTCGTTCTGTTCGTTTCAGTCGCTTGGCTTTTATATATATAGATTTCTGGCTAAAGTCAGACTGTGTGAAACATAAAAGATGAAAAATGCTTGAGCCTATACATGTTATACGATGGCATTAGGCCCCACCCGTCATGAACTACATGTCCCATTTCATCCCTTTCCACCTGCAACCCGGGGTAAAAATCAGCTCCTTGCGTATGAGGGGGCATCAGGCCCTGGCAGCCTTGCACAGAGAGAGCGCTTTGGTGCCCAGCCCTGGGAGGTGAGGGGTGGTCACCTGTGTGCAGTGTCTTCTAACCCCACCTGGTGATGCTGTCGTGTTTCCACAGTTAACTCTGAAGACGCTCCGGTGAGAAGACGGAGGAAGCCCACGTCCTGCGAGCCCCTGGGGCTCCCCCCTGCGGACAGGCATCCCAGGAGGCCATGTCTGACCTCACCGCACTCCAGTTGCAATGCAGTTGACATACAGGCTCTGCATGGAGCATTTATTTATTGTAAATACGTGGTTTGCACAGGCTTTAATCGGTATCATAGTCGGCTTTTATTTTGTAAAAAAACCACCCTCACCGTTTCTCCATTTTTTCAAAATGCATCTTGGCATTCACCTGCCGGTGCAGATGGAGCCCTCCTGCCCCACCGCACAGCATCCGTCCCGTGACTGTAAAGACCGTGCAGGCTGGCCCTTCCTGCATACGGACCCGCGTTTAGGAGATTCCTTGGTTTGCCAGGTACCCTACAGTCACGGTATCCACGGTGACTTCCGATTGGCATGATTTTATGTTCTCAGCACACAAACTGCAGAATCAAACCGAACAATGCCTTATACGTGACACAGCTCAGAGACCCGAGTGTCCCCTCTCCCAGATGACGGACGCCACTCGGCCTCCAGCGGACGGGCCGCGGCGTCCCGCTTCCGTCTTGCCGTACAGGGATTCTTTTTTTTCCTGCCTGATGTAAATAGAACACACAGCCCAGGCAGGCGCGGGCTCGGCCCCTTTTGTAAATGAATGATCCTGCGAGTAGCCAATGCTCTGTTTACAGTGCCCCTCGTGCCCAAGTCCCCGAGGTGTCGTTCCTGTCCCCTCCAAGCCCCTTCCTGGCAGCCAGGCCGACGTGGGGTGAGCTTTAGGAGACTGGGGTATTTTCCTTGCAAGTTAGAAACCTGCATCACACTCACTTTTAGAGTAAATGACTAATCCTATCTCAGCGGTCTGTATTTTCTCTCCCAAGTGCAGGATCTCTATGGCAAGGAAAAGTGTGGGCCAAATGTATTAGGAGCTATCTGCCTCAAATATCTGGTTCCCCACCCCCAGGCCTAGGGCCACCCCTCAGGCAACACCTAGCTCCCTCTGAGCTGAAGAACGGAACTGGCCTGAGATCTGGTGGGGGGCACCTCTCCGGGGGCAGCCGTGTCCATGGTCAGCCACCCCTGGATAAGGAGCAGGCCAGGGTGGGCTCCGACTGCTGCTCACACCCATGGTCTCGAGCTGGGGAGGGAACAGAAGTGTGCGTGTGCTTGCCGCCTGACCCCCAGGGCTCCCTGTCCTGGGAGAGGCCGGCTGTGGCAGAGGAAGGGGAGAAAATAGAAGGAAACACGCTCATCTCTGGCCTGTTATCGAAATAGCTGCAGATTATAGGAAATTGTGGAAGGAGAGGCTGGCAGGCGGTAAAAATGTTTCCTCTGGAACCAGCCTCACTTGGGCTCCCACCTTGAGGGGACCATGCCCAGACCAAGCCATCCAAAAAGGCAATGGATAGGAGGGTTCTGCTCACACGTGACTGCACGCACCTAGTGGTGGTCCGGAGTCACCTAGGATGCTTCCCTCCATCATTGTGCTTCCTCCTTGCAGGGAGAAGCCAGTGAGTGAGGTTAAGTTCCCTTCTCTGGGGACTAAATCAAGCCAAATTGTAACAGAAATCAATGGAAAAGAAGTTTTCCAGGTCGCCAGCTCTGGGCATAGCTGCTGGGTTTCAGATGTTCTGGAAGGTTTCCGAAAGGTCAGACTTCCTTTATTATAACAGTATTCACATCACCTCCCTCCCAGTTGTACAACAGAATTGCAAAGGATTTAAATATCATGGTTAAGAAGGCCCTAGACCAGTGGTTCTCAACCTTCTGGCCCTTTAAATACAGTTCCTCATGTTGTGACCCAACCATAAAATTTTCTTTGCTACTTCATAACTGTAATGTTGCTACTGTTATGAATCATAATGTAAATATCTGATATGCAGGATGGTCTTAGGCGACCCCTGTGAAAGGGTCATTCGACCACCAAAGGGGTCGCGACCCACAGGTTGAGAACCGCTGCCCTAGACAAAGGCAGTCCTGCCTACGGGGCACCGTCTGCCCCGTGAGGTGCTTATACGTGCTTGGTCCAGAACGCTGGGCTGGAAATGAAAAACAAAACGATTCAAGGGCAGACAGAAGGAATGAGCAGAAACCACAAATCGCAATTGGGGGGTGGGGGCAGATCTCGGGAGTTGGCATCGCATCGCTCCTCTGAGACCGATCACTGCATTCGGGCCCCTTGGACTCGCAGGACAGAGGTGGAGCCCCTGACCATGCACCCCCTGCCGCCCCCAGACAGCTGATCACTGCGGTCTCCGTCCTCGGAGATTCCCACAATAGGCCTGTCGTCTGCGCTCCCCAGTGTTCCCCATGCATTTTGTATTTATAAATATAAACACAAATATAAAAAGCCTCTGCAGGTTATTTCTCCGTACCTAATAAACTTTGACAAACGGACATGCTTCTGGCCGTCTCCCTGTGGAAACAGCGTGGTCACCAGCACTGAGCTCAGGGTCAGGAGGGCTTCGGACAGGAGGAAGCCCGGTGCCCAGCTGGCTCCCGCACTGCTGAAATGTCCTGTGAGAGTCAGGCCTTTCTTTACTGAGCTGGCGTTGCTGACTAAACCGCAGTCACAGTTTCGTCTGATGTTCCCCTGGTGTTTGTAAGCTAACTGAATGGGTATTTGGAAAAACCAAGGGAAAAACTTTCTTAAATGCATTTTTTTTCAGGTTTATTAATATGGGTAGCCCGGCCACATGGCCCAGTGGTTGAGCGTCGACCTATAAACCAGGCGGTCACGGTTCGATTCCTGGTCAGGGCACATGCGTGGGTTGTGGGCTCAATCCCCAGTGTGGGCCATGGAGGAGACAGCTAATCAATGATTCTCTCTCATCATGGATGTTTCTCTCTCTCTCTCTCTCTCTCTCTCTCTCTCTCTCTCTCTCTCTCTCTCTTTCTCTCTCTCTCTCTCTGAAATCAATAAAAACATTTAAAATGTGTGTGTGTGTTTATGTAGAGAATTCCTCTAACTTCTGTTTAAAAGGAACAACTTTCAACCTAAGGTATGCTTAGCACCACCCCCTACAACGTCGTAAACTCCTCCCAAAACCTCCTGTATGAGCAGCAGTAGCACCCCACCTCCATGCCAGTACTTGCAGGTGAACTCCGAAACGTGGGAAGGGGAGGGGAGGTTTACCCACGGGGGACGCTGGCTCAGGGAAGGGAATTACTTCACCAGCCTGTGCCTCAGTTTCCTCACCTGTGAAATGGAGACCTCAACGTGTACCTGAGCATATAGTGGTGACGGCTCAGTGACGTAACACCCGGGCACCCCTTAACCCCCTGCGTCACAGCAGACCCGGGCATCGGCCTGCCCCTCGCCCCGAGACCTGCACTCCGGGGGACACCAGTTTGCCGAGGGCACTGCCTCCCCGGCAGCCCCTTTAGACGTTTGCTGAGCAGCTCAGACCACACTGCACCGGTCCTGCTGCTGGAGAACAGGGAGAGAGCGGCAATTAGAATCCATGGATGTTCCCTAAATGGATCTCCTCTGGAAACTGATTTCAGAGTTTGCTGCGACACGCTCTGCATCCCAGTGAGTTCAGGCCCTGCCTTATCTTACCTGCTGTCTGATTGGTGGAGGTTCAAAAAGCTCTTTAATGACCAGAGGAGCCGTCTGGGTGGAGAGGAAACGCAATAGTCCAAGAAAGATCACAAAGTGGATGATGCTGAAGGGGGGTGGGGGGCAGGGAGGCCGGAGGGGGTAGTGAAGCAGCAGCATCGCAGGCACCCCTTATAGGTTAAGGGGGGGAGGGGTGCCTGCAGCAGGAAGGGCTCTGGGCTCCCGAAGCAACTTTCAGACCCACGAGGCCTTGGCTTCCTTCATGAATCTGTGGTGGTATCTCTTCCAAAAACTCTTAGGGTGAATCCTAACCCCCAGTTCCTCAGAATGTGACCTTATTTGGAAATTGGGTCATTCCAGGTGTTACTAGTTAAGATGAGGTTATAAAGGAGTAGGGTGCACCCCCTACCCCAAAATGACTGGTGTCCTTATAAAAAGGGGTGTTTACACACACACACACACACACACACACACACACGGACGCCATGGGAAGATGAGGGCAGATACAGCGGCGATGCTCTCCAGGCCAAGGAGTGCTGAAGACGGCCAGCCGAGCCCTGGCGTAAGGAGACGGCCCTCGGGAGGAACCCACCCTGCCTGCACATGGACCTCGGACTTCTAGCCTCCAGCCCGGTGAGAGTTCATTTCTGTTGTTTAGCGGTACTTTGTTAAAGCAGCCCTAGCAAACGAATGCAGGCTTTGTCTCCTTGGAGTTTTGTAGGAGTGCATTACAGGGAAAAGAGCTGGGGGTCAAGTTTAAAGGTTTAGCAGTTCCTCGTCATATAAATGAAGCAGTCGACTACTCTGCCCTTGACAGAGGTCACTCGTTTCCATGAACAAGATAAGTAGTTGCATTTGCCCATCCTGGTGGAGACAGGATCGTGGGAGCAACCTGGCATTTCTAGGCCACAGGAGTGGAGAGAGGCTGACTTTTTTCTTAAGCGGCATCCTTCCCTCTGGTGGACCCACTGGGGGCTTTAAAATAAAGATGCTTGGCATAGATGCCAGCAGCCATTTGGAGCATCTAGACTCCTGTTGCTAGTACGGCTTTAATGGTGGTGACACAAACCCAACATAAAGTTTACCATCCTAACCATGTTTAAGTATAACATTCAGTAGTGTTGAGTGCATTCACATGATTCTGCAGCCAATCTCCAGAACTCCTTTATGATCTGCAAAACTTTTTTATACCCCCTAAGAAATTCCCCATTTTCCCCTCCCTGCCCCTCACCTACATGGAATAATACAATACTTGCCATTTTGAGACTGGCTCATTTCACTTAGCATGATGTCCTCAGGGCATCCATGTTGTAGAATGTGTCAGAATTCCCTTCCTCTTTAAGGCTGAATAGTATTCCGTTTTATGTATATACTGCATTCTGTTCATTCATCCATCCACCGGTGAATTCTTGGGTAGTTGCCACGTTTTAGCTTTCATGAATAATGCTGCTGTGAACATGGCTGTACACATATTTCTTTGAAAACATGCTTTTAATTTTTTAGGGTATATACTCAGAGGTGGGATTGCTAGATTACATGCTAATTCTCTCTGTAATTTTTTTTTGAGGACCCTCCACACTGATTTCCACCCGCACTGCACGTTTTTACATCCCCACAGTAAAACACAAGGGTTCCCGTTTCTCCAGGTCCCCCTCAACACTTGTCAGTTCTGGTTTTTTACAGCAGCATCCTGATGGGTGTGAGGTGGTATCTCCTTGTGGTTTTGTATTTACTTTTAAAGAGTGAACTTATCCACAGAATGGGACAGAAATGGAGGAAACCGCTGAAAAGGTTGGGTTTTCTGAAGATTAAAGTCAGAAAAAACACATGTCCTTTTATACATTTTCTATGTCGTGACTGATGCCCACATTTATTCATGAGACACAAAGTAGAAAAGGCCACCGGACATCAGTTTCAGTTATTTTTTTTTTTTTTTTGCTTTTTTTTTTATTGTATGCTTGATGTATTTAGGGACAATTCCACGGGCAAGCACTGGATGGGGAAGTTGTCTGGGCTGTGGATATTGTACAAAAGGCTGTTAAGACGACACAGTCAGTTCCCACTGCAGGAAACAAAGAGTCTCCTTTTTCGCACTCCCTGCCAACAGCATTGTCCAGCTCACACATTTAACTCCTCACAACATGATCGCAAACGTGTGCGTGTTCATTCCCACGAGACATCTGCACGTGACGGGTCGGGATGTTTGACAGAGACCACAGGAGGGGAGCTGGGACGCAGGGCCTGTGGGGTGAAGTGCCGGAAGCACAGAGTATTCTGGGACAGTGTGTGCCTGGGACCCTCACCCCTCCCCCTTAGACAGGAAGGAATGGCCAGCGAGGTGGTTCCCGCTCCCCTTCCTCTATGTGCTTCCCTCCTAATGCTGAGAGCTCAGCGGAACACCTTCCCCATAAATGACTTGTCAGCTCCTCGGTGGAGCGTGCAGTTACTGGTTCCAGAACACACACCGGTCCCACCTGGCTTCCCTGCTGGGCCAGCCGCATGTGGGGTGACATCAGTTAGGGAGCAAAGTGGTTTGCCTGGTTAATAACTATTTTTTACCTACTCAGCCACCCAGTAGTGAAGGAACTGGCTGCTATAATCTAATAGGCACACACCTGCTCTGTTAGACAGCTTGTCAGGCAGACTCTTTCTAATGAGAACACTGTCTTAGGTTACTGGGCACAAAAGAATCGCCATCATTTCAAGTACATCCTTATTCTACCTAAAGCTCCAAGTCACCTCCTGGAGTGAAAGAGAACTGCTTCTGCTCTGTTCATGTGCCTTCCCGGAGGCTATGGTCAGTCCCTCTACTCGACAAGACTGGCTGGCTTATGCCTGGCTGTGGGGTGGAGGGGTGGTGGTGGGGGCGGGGGGAGAAGCTGTCCTTCCGGCCCTGTCTTCCGTCTGCACAATGCACAGCACCCCCACCCGAGGGTTAATGGATACACAGATGGTGTTTTAGGAAGCTATTTATACTCTGACCTTTAAACATTATCTTACAGTTCATCTCGAATATTTGTTTTCTCCATATTGCCTTTAGAAAAGCCATCCCCCCGGTCAAGGAGTTAGCCATGTAATGATATGCATTTTTTTAAAAGCACAGTCTGTGTGGAGCGTTTAAAGAACAAGCAGCGCCCCCAGCAACAGCCTGTTCAAAACCCAACAACCTATTTCAGGCTGCTCATCTAAGTGAATACAAGTCCCTAGAAGTGAACAGGCCATTTCGGCAGGTTCTTGGCTCTCTTCTTGCCCTTCCCTGTGATGCCCACTGTACGAGGACTCTGTCCATTGCTATTATTGGGTCCGACTGTACACAGGCTACCTCTGGGCCTGAGGGAAGCACCCCAGCCGGGTTGAACGTCTGCCAGGCTGTGCCACGGAGGGCTGCCTCGCCCTCTAGTGGTCACCCAGGGGCATCACAATTGTGATGTACAGTGTGAGCCCAGACAACTCTCCATCAGGGCTGGCCCTTCTCTGAAGTGCTGGGCTAAGGTCAACGCCCCCTCACAGAAGCACCCATTGTGTGTCTCACTGCACCACGCTGGGCAATGGCCTAAGGCTGGCTGGGTCACCGTGACCTCTGTTTGGCCCATAATAATGAAAGCAGGCCTCTGTCATTTATTCTCACTAGCCTCCTTTTGGTAAAACCCCGGATCACTTTAAGCATCACAGGTCTGATGCAATGTTTCCATAACAGGTGGAGGTGAGATCTCGGTGTGAAAGTCGGTGTTTCAAAGAACCACTCTGTAGGTGGGCTTAGGGGGGAATAGGGTACCTCCATCGTTCTGGAACCCCACCCTGGCCCCCTTAGCAGCTGTGGGCAGACACTCTGAGAATGGCAGCTGGAGGAGACCCTAAGTGAATCAGCAGTGAAGGCCCGAACCTGGGCGAAGCCTCGGGGACTACCAGCCACCATGCATGGCTGCTGTTAACTTTGTCAGCCCCACAGTCTTCCTCGCTGTCACTGCCTGTGGTCGGTCATTTTCCTACAAACCTCCTGGGCAAGGAGCTCATGGTGCTCTTCAAGGGCAGTTGGTAGGGAAAAAGGAGGTTTGTTCCGATAAAACCTGTGACCCTCGGGCCACGTCCGAGTATGGGACCTGTGCCCTTCCAGCTCTTGTGGCCTGACATGTTGCTTCTGGAAAGTCAGTAGGAGCAATTAGCTGCTGTTCTCCACTAGCTGTCTACCACCACATTCTCCATGACTCATCTCCACCCCTTTCCGTTTCTTTTTTTAAAATTTATTCAGAGAGGAAGGGAGAGGGATGAGAGAGAATCATTGATTGGTTGCCTCCCGCATGCTCCACACTGGGGATCGAGCCCGCAACCCGGGCATGTGCCCTGACTGGGAATCGAACCATGACCTCCTGGTTCATAGGTCGATGCTCAATCTCTGAGCCACGCTGGTCGGACCATCTCCGCCCCTTTCCATTCCGAGCGTGGCTGAGAGGGTTAGTGGCTGGAGGTAAGCCCTCACCACCTGCACCTGCCCGCGCCAGCCACCCGTCTCAAGGCAGCTGCTGGGACACGGCGGGTGGGAGGGGTGGAGGCAAGGCCCGGGGAAAGCCAGCTCCCTACACAGCTCTGTGGGCTGTAACAGACTGGGCGGGAGGGCGGGGGCTGGCCTGGTACCCTGGAGCGAGACGCTTCTACCTCCATCTGTCGCCTTCTTGCCCTCTGTGTTCCCAGCGCTGGCCCATCTGGTCCTCCTCGCACGCTCTTCTGTGCTCCGGTGGTAAGTCAAATCCTTCATGCGAACACGACATTGGAAACACATCGGTCTGATTAAAGTCTCTGCTGAGATAGTGCTGTGTCTGCTCGGATTCCAGCTACTTTAACTAGAATCGAAACAGCCAGAAGTTTTCTCCCTCTCTTCCCCTCATTAACCGAGAGCTTGGCGGCTTTGCGGGGTAGAGCTGTGCCAGAGGGCCCTTTATTGGTAATTCACCTAAACCAGTGGTTCTCAACCTTGGCTGCACATTAGAATCACCTGGGAATCTTTTTAAAATCCTGATTTCTGGGCCTCCTCCTCCGGAAATTCTGTTTCTTTGTTACTAATGTTGTGGCCCCACCCCATAACAAAGAAACAGAATTTCCGGAGGATGAGGCCCAGAAATCAGGATTTTAAAAAGATTCCCAGGTGATTCTAATGTGCAGCCAAGGTTGAGAACCACTGCCCTAAACAGACGGCGGTAAGCAGGCCGGAACCATTCTGCACAGGGGCAGCCAGGTGGCAGGTGCGCTGGAGCAGGTGAGCCTGGTGCCTCTGGGCGGCCCACGCGGGGATGCAGGGAAGCCACAGGTGTGGCTGCCTCTGACTCGCTACAGGGGGCGGGTCCCGCTCACACAGGGAGCAGCCCTCCCGCACGTGGGAGCAGTTGGGTCCACCGCTCACAAGCACGGGGCACAGAAGACGGGCTTGTGAGGATCACGGGAAGCCGGACGGAGCTGGGACTGGACAGGACCCCTGTCCTCCTTCCCTCCAGATGTGTCCCTCAGAAGACACACCTGGAGACCTTCCGCACTACAGACAAGCCCTCACGTTCAGGGCAGCCAGGAAGCTTCTCCCTCGAGGGCACAGGCAAGGCCCTGGGCCAGACACAGCAATGCCTGTTGTGAGCCTGGAAGAAACTTACTCAGCGAGGAAGACGGCAGGAGACTTTGCCTCCCCACCCGCTCAGCATTGCGGAGCCTGCCTTCCAGGGCCTGGTGAGCGCACATCCTCCCGGAAAGGCCAACGTGTCCATTGTCACAGAAATACAACAGCAGCAGCTTGACATCCACGATTAGTCACACGGGGGAACCACGGGCGCACGGGGCACAGGTCACACAGCAGAGGAAGGGGACCACGTGGCAGAGGGGACGTGTTGAGGTTCCAGCAGAACACAAGTGTCCGTCCGGCCTGGCTTCGGAAAAGGGACCACCAGCCGCCACGGAGGGCCTCTCGTCTTTCTCGCACGGGAGAGCGGTGGTTTTGCTGGTAAGTTAGTCGGTGGGAAACTTTAAATACGAGGGGGAGGGTGGCTTCACTTAAAGAACTTGATCTCCGTGTCCACACAGTCATAGAAAAGGTCGGCCACCTCGGCGGGGTCCGGGGGCGCGGGGCTGGCCAGGATTTCCTCCATGGCCTCCAGGCCTTGCTTCTCCAGCTCCAGCATGGTCCTCCGCAGCCTGCGGCCCTGCTCCTGAGGAACCCAAGCGGGGGGAGGTCATTGCCACGAACCCTGAGAGCCTCTTGGGGTGGGAGACCCTACCCAATGTTTCCTACAGGACCGCCATGGGGATCCTTCCAGATGCCAGCATGGGTGTCACTGCTCTGCTTGGCATACCTGCCTGGTTTCCACCGCCTTCAGGATACATCCTGAGTGGCATCCCGGCCGGTGGGACACAGGAGGCTCTTAGTTGGCCTCTAGCCACACCCCTTCGACTCAGCCAGTTGACTCGGCTGCCTCCCTCCAGCCCAGGGGTCCTCACACTTTTTAAACAGGGGGCCAGTTCACTGTCCCTCAGACCGTTGGAGGGCCGGACTTTAGTTTTAAAAAAAACTATGAACAAATTCCTATGCACACTGCACATATCTTATTTTGGAGTAAAAAAACAAAACGGGAACAAATACAGTATTTGTATTTGCATGTGGCCCGCGGGCCGTAGTTTGAGGACCCCTGCTCCAGCCCATCCTCCCCACTGCCTGGGCCAGCGTGTCCCCCAGGGGCCTGGTCAGCTGCACCCCTCTGCACCCCTCTGCAGGCCTCTTCTCTGGGCTCCCAGGGCAGGGCCTTGCCTCCTGCCGGCTGCTCTCTGTCATGTGAAGCTCTGTCTGCTTGCCTGTGTCCCCGTTAGACCCTGGGCTCCTGGGGGGTGAGGACGGGGCGTGGCTCCAGGCGCCAGAGCCTCAGACGTGGTAGCACAGTAAGTCCCAGAGGGGGACGCTGCTGTCACCGCCCCCCTGACTCACACCTGCAGTCATTTCCACATTTCAAAGCCCACCTGCCCTCACTGGCTCAGCTCTAGAATTTGGGGTAGAAGCGCTCAGCCCACACGGCCCTGCCTGCCTCTGCCTCCTATCGCCTGATCCACAAAACCGTTCTCGGTCCCTGCCCGGCTTAGAAAATGCACTGGCAGGAGCCGCGGGAACAGCGGTGCAGACTCCAGGGAATGGTAGGCGGGCGGACAGACGGAAGACAGCCGACAGCTGGTGGCGTGGAGGTGCGAGCTCTGTGACCACTGAGCCTGCCCTGCTCAGAGATGCTGTCGGAACCCACGGGGTTGCCACCCGGGTCGCCTTCTCTATGTCCCTTTTGCAGTCCCTGGTGCTCGCCCGGCCCACACAGAACGCGTGCTCCGTTCACCTAAAAGGGGCCCTTTCTTCCGGAGAAACTGGACCTGCTCCCAGCTGTTCACTCAACGCTTGAGGGTGGATGCGTGTCTAACATGCCCAGTCCTTCCTCCTCCCTTCCAGCCAGTACAGCTGGGGCTGCAGAGGAATGCTCGCGGGTGCTGGGGGTGGCCTTGTTAGAATTTACGTCTCATAGCTTTAAGTTCCAAAGCTTGGGGGGGGGGGGGGTGGCAGGGGATCTGCGCTTTAAAGAAAAACTTCTTTTTAACTGAAAACTTGAGAATCTTTCTTTTAGTGTCATAAAATGTATATCCCACCGAAAATACCACTGGAGCCCTTTTCAGTGTGCTGTTTAGTGGCATTAGGTACAGTCACATTGTGCGACCCTATCCATCTCCAGGACTTTGGGGAAGAATCAATTTTTTAAGCATTTTTAAAGTGTTGCCACCACATACAACCTTGTGTCCCCAAAAGTATACAAAACTGTAGGAAGAAGCGAAGCAGCCGTCCCTACTGGGCTGCACATTTCGGGGATGCCTAGGAGAACAGTAAGTTAAAGGGGCTATTCAGAGCCCACCAGGCTCCAGAATAACACCAGAAGCATAGGCTTTGGTTTCTTTCAGGGGACGGGGTGGGACAGTGAACACCACATCCTGGGAAGGGCCTGGGAGCCTGGGTTTTGGGGAGGAGCGTGCTAGAGAGGAGGAAGAGGGTGACTTGTGCCCTGCCCTCCTGGCCCATGCTCGCTGACCCCACCCCTGTCCACGGCCCAGCCCCGGCTCACCTGGCCGCTGGCGATGACAGCGCGTGCCCACTCGTGGGCCTTGTACAGTTCGTGCCGACGGTCTGGTTTCTCCTGGAACCGGGGCTCCCTTCTGGCAGGGTCGTCATCCCCGAAACAGGGAGACTGTGCTTTCGGGACAAGTTTTACATCGTCCACAAAGATGAAAGGCTTGAAGATGGACCTGGAGAGAAAGGAGAGGGGCTTCAGCCAGGCTGGGTGTGAGGGCACCAGAAGCAGTCCTTTCAGCAGCCATTTCTGGGGGTAGAGGGTGGTGGGTGGAGGGTGGGTGGTGGGTGGAGGGTGGGTTCATGCCAAGAGAGACACAACTGCAGGGTTTAGTGAAGGTTTCCGTGAAGTTCACTGCCACTTACAAGCTGCGGTTTCTCCTATTCACAGGGAGGAGACGTCTAGACAGACCTGCCTGCTTGGGAAGACCGTGACATAAAGCGAGGCAAGTAGAAAAGGGGTCCTCTATTTACGCTCAGCGAGGTGGCCTTTCGCGCATGGTTTGCTGGGAAGTGGCCTCTGGGAAAGGAAGGCTCTGAGACCCCTTCTCACTCTCTTTTTTAAGTTCTACCTTATTTGAAAAATTCTGGAATAATTCTGACAGATTCAGGGAGGGGACAGATTAAGGTGGACAACACAAAGAGAAGCCCAGAGAAAGAGAAGTCTGGTGGTGAGAGGGTGGGGAGCTCTGGGCACAGGAGGGGGCCCAGGCAAACACTCTTTGATTCCGCTCTTTTGGCCCAATGGGTGTATTTTAAGGAAATGGCCGTGTGTGTGTGTACATGTACGTGTGGGAGTATATCTGGACATCTTTGCCTTATCTGTCTTGTTTTCCCCTAAGTTCTGTGATGAATGCAACAAGCCAGTGTAAAAAAAAAATGTCCTCCTCTCATTTGTTTTCTCATTTAGAAGGAAAACAAAATTACCATTTTTGATAATGAATGGTACCCCTGCTCGTTCATTCATTTCATTCATTCACTCCTCCCTTCCTTCCTTCACTCAGTCAGTAAATACATGCTGACGGTAACTGAGTACCAAATACTGCTCTAGGACCTAGGGTTACAGCCATGAATAAGGCAGGGCAAAGGCTTCTGTCCCATTTCACAGACGAGGTGACTGAGGCTCATAGAAGCTACGAGCTTGGTCCAGACACATTCCTAAGGAGTGGCAGACCGAGAACCAAATCTTCCAAAGCCACGGTCAGCTTTCCCCACTCTCTCTCACTGCTGCAGCGTCCTGTTGGTTTATGTAAAAACACCTTGTGCCGCTGCAGAAAAATGAAATACTTTTTGTGATTGGGATTGAGAATTGTAATGTCAGTGCCAGCCAACGCTTCTGACTTCAGCGTGACTTGTTCTTACTGAAGGGGCAGACACTCGCCCGGAGACTCAGCCAGGCTCACCCCATGCCCCGGAGGCCCCCCCAGATCCCTTGAGGGGTGACTGGCACAGACAGGAGCAGCACACAGGGTCCCACTGGGATGAATCTGCTAAACTTGGAACCAATCTGGAAAGAATCTAGAATAACCAGTTTCTCTCAACTCCAATAACAAGAAGGGGGCCCTTGTCCCTGACATCTGAATTAACCAGATGAGACGTTCTCAGCAGATCCAATTTAGCCTCTCAAGCCTACTACACTGGGAGAAGGAGGAAACCACAACCACACACACACACACACACACACACACCATGTCCCTTGCATCTCCCCAGCTCCTTGCCACCAGTTAAAGTGCATCAAACACCCTATTTTCCTAGAACTGCCTCCCTCTTTTCTGTTTCCTGGGCGAAGTGCATGGCCTAATGTAATTAGGGAAATGGGTTGGGAAATGGCCTTCTAATATCTAAAATGGAAAGTGTTTAAATTATCTTCCACTCTTGGTTTATCCATCCTCTATGTGGAATGTTTGTTTTCCCAGTTGTGGGGGCCTGTCAGTGGCGTGCTGGGTTGACAATTGCATCTCTGAAAAAATAAAATAAAATAAGCCCTGCTTCCTGGCGTCTGCCAATTTCCCTGGTGTAAATACGCCCACTGTGGCCCATTTCAAGTTACTGATGTGACACCCCAGAACATAGAGTCAGGAAGGATGCACTTAATCGGCTCTCACTGGCTCCCGACACTGCAGGACTGAACTGTACAGTCTCAAAATGCGAAGGTACCGCTACCCTTTCCCTCTCTGATTCTTCACATCAATGGAACTTCAACAAGTACTGGCCTCCAACCAGAAATGGTTCCCAAAGGTCAGAACAGGTGCACACAAGCCAATCAGTGTCACTATCGAATGACTAAGGCACCAGCTGGCACAACAGAATATTGGTAAGATGGAATGTGCTTTCTCGATAAATTAATTCAAGGTCTTCTGCATCTCCCTCTAGCTTGAACTGCGACTTTTGCACCTCCTTCCAACTCTCAAGCTTACATAGTACCTGGTTCTTGCTAGGAGGCGAGTGGGGGAACATAAGGGAGGGAAGGAGGAGAGAAAAGAATGTGAGATCAAGTTGTTTTGAGAAGAGGATCTATAATTAATACAGTGCAGAGGGCGGAGAAGTGCCGCAGCACACGGAGCAGCAGCCAGCGCGTGTCCCGCGGTGTCTGACACTCACCGGGAGGGATGCGTCCCACAGTCCTGCGCTTTGATCATAATCTTTTGTGAGTGCACTGCCCTGACACTACTTCCCCCACACACCTCTCGGCTGCCTTCAGCGTTAACAGAAGCAGCTCAAAGGCCCCTCGTTTTACTACCTCAAAGCCCAAGAGGAGTTCATTGTGCTTCCTGCTGACAAAATACAAAACTCTGAACATGCCCAATTACAGGGAAATATTGGAATGTTGACGAGGAAAGAAAGCTATGACCGTCCTGCCGTCGCCATGGAAGCACAGCTCATTTAACAGTGGGAGATAAAAATGAATGCCTTCGGAAGGCTCTAAATCTGCCTTAAGGCCTTTTTAATTAATGGGACTCAGGAATAATTTGCTTTTAAAGTTACTTGAGACTTTCCATTTTAAATACCTGAAGGTTATTTCCCAGCCCGTTCCTCTGACTGTATTAGGCCGAGCACTTCAGCCGAGGAATCAGACTCCCTTTATGTTATTGTCCTGGCGTCACATGGCCTGGCTTCTAGCCACTGTCAGAGCAGGTGTCTGACACAGGGGGCCAAGGGATGGGGGACAGTCATTCTTCAGTTCTTCAAAGGCTCCCGTTCCCTAAAGAACAATGTCCAATACCTCGGCAGAGCATCCAGACCCTCCCAAAGCCCACGTGTACCCTCCTGGGCAGCAGGGAGTGCTTGCTCACAAGGGGCTGTTAAGTCACTAGCATTGGGAGACAAGCTTTCATGCCTCTATGCTTTTGCACATGCTTTGATTTGACAGCATGCTAAGAGACTCAGACTGTCATTCCTGCTTTTTGTCCCTAACAAACTCCTATTCTTCCGACAATGCCCAGCACTCAAGAGTCCCTTTCTCTGTGAAGTGTTTCTCTTTGTCGTCTCTGTGTGCCATCTCTTCCCTTGTACACAGTCTCTAGTACCCAAAAAGCACACTATGTGGTACACAGTAGGTGCTTAATAAGTGCTTTTGAATGGATAAATGAGTGAATGAAAAACTAAGAATACCTTAAACCGAATTTAATAGTCCAGTCCTGCTAGAAGTCTCTATTGATATTGGCTGTAATTTAAAACATGAGGCCCACACCTGAAACTAATGCAAAATAATCTTACCTAATAATAGACAAACATGCAAATCAACCATACCTTCGTTACACCCACCAGCCAATCGGATAAATATGCAAATTAACCAAACAAAGATGGCAGTTAATTTGCATACATAGGCGCCCAGTGGCTATCGGAGCCTGCAATCAGAGCTGAGAGGCCCCCTGCCCAGGCCTAACGCCTTGAGGAGTTAGGCCTGGGCAGGGGTGGAGCCGGCGATGGCGGGAGCAGGGGCGGAGTTGGTGATCATGGGGAGCTGGGGATCCCCTGCCCAGGCCTAACGCATCGGTCAGAAGCGTTAGGCCTGGGCAGGGGCAGAGCCAGCAATCGCAGGGAGCATGGGCAGAGTCTGTGATCACAGGGAACTGAGGGTCCCCTGCCCAGGCCTAACGCCTTGGCCACAGGCATTAGGCCTGGGCAGAGGCAGAGACGGTGATCACAGGGAGCAGGGGAAGAGCCGGTGATGGTGGGGAGCAGGGGTAGAATGGGCGATTGTGGGAGCTGGGGGTCCCCTGCCCAGGTCTAATGACTCGGCCAGAGGCGTTAGCCCTGGGCAGAGGCCGAGCCAGCAATTGGTGTGAACTACAGAGGAAACACCTTTTCTGACTGCTCATTGGCTAAGCTCCCTGTATGCCACTGGTAATATTCTTAGTAACTTCGGTAATAAGAATCCAAATAGGTGATCTAGGGTTTTTTACCACACTCCTGGAGAAAAAAAGGAAGGTCCACTGCCGGAGGGCTAAGAAATGTCATATCCTTACCTAGCCGTTTGGCTCAGTGGATAATGCCTCGGCCTGCCAACCGCAGGGTCTGGGTTCAATTCTGACCAAGGGCATGTACCTAGGTTGCAGGCTCCTCCCTGGCATGGGTCCAGGTCAGGGCTCATGCAGGGGGCAACCAATCAAAGTGTTCCTCTCACTTTGATGTTTCTCTCTGTCTTTCCCTTTCTCTTCCACAGTCTCTAAAAGTCAATGGAAACATATCCTCAGGTGAGGATAAACAAAGAAAGAAATGTCATATCCTATGAAAGACACATCTTGAAGATGCCTAAAGAAAGTTGTCATTATTTCATGGTGAAGGGACTGGAGTCCGTGTTGATGAAAACACCTTGGTGGCTGCGGTGACTGGCAGTGGCTGCAACAGTGGGGTGATGGGGCTGGTGCCTTCCCCTGATCAGCCCAGTCGCCTCCCACAAAGGGAGGCCAGACTGTGGCTTAGGCCCGCTCCCCAAGGGGAGCAAGGAGTAGGACATCCCCTGAGGGCTCCCAGTATGTGATAGGGGGCAGGCTGAGCTGAGGGACACCCCCGATCCAGTGCACAAATTTTTGTGCACCGAGCCTCTAGTATTAGATATAAACTGCAATTGAAAAATAAAATTCAAAAATGAGGCCCAACAAGCACATCAAAGTAGGGACTAGTATTATCCCGATTGTACAATACAGAAACGGACGCTTAGAGATGTTACATGATGTATCTAGCTCCTAACTGACTGAGGTAGAATTCAAAATCCTGGCAGTTTATTCTCAAGGCTGATGCTCTTACCCACTGTGCAATTCTACCTCTTCGCTGAAGTTCCTGGGCAGAAAGCAACCCTTGAAAATCCAATGTCTAGAAGTACTGGCCAGTGTGCGTGAAGTTGCTTCCATCAGCTTTGCCTCTGGGCCATTTTGTCCTCTAACTGCTAGGAACTGGTGGTTGTGACAAGTCTTGGGCAATCCTGCAATCTCTCTGTTTCATTGTGTCTTATTTAGCTTTGCATGCCCCACATACAGCACCATGCCTGGCCCATGATACATAATCAATACGCATTTGCTGAATTTAAAACCATTGGATACCATGATTGTGATGAATGCTATGTGACTAAAGCTGGGAACACCCCTGAATCGAAGCTTTTTATGCTGCCCCGGCCATGTTGAGAACAACTAAATCATGTGGCTCAACCACACAAAAGGCAGGGCGGGAACTTGGTGTGCGCTTGTTGGACGAGCTTTCGAGGGCGCCATGCGCTTTCTGCTTACACGACTGTGTCTCAGACGAACCTGGAGGGGTCTGGGGTCCCGGTGAAGTAGTGGATGCACGGTGAACCTCTGCTCTGGGGCAGGACAGACGCCATGCTGGCTGTGGTCAGGAACGACTCGGAGTCTATGCAGACGCCACTGGCTTTGTCCCGTAAGATGTCAATCATAGTCTGCACAGTGATTCCTTCTGTAAAGACAGAGGTGGGGGAAATATATCACTGCCGCAGGCTGCTAACCAAAATCCGTTCACGCCTTTCCCTTTTCTGAAATAGAACTCCTGGCATTATAGGTGGGAACACAACTGCCTAACTACAGACCCTTGTGGCTAGGTGTGGCCATGGGTAAATCCTGACCAGTGGGAGACAAGTGGAAATGATATGCTCAACTTTCTTGTCACATCCCTAAAAAGGAATGCTTGCCCTTAATTTTCCTCTTCTCCCTTCCTGCTGGCTGGGAAGAAAATTCAACAGTTAACTTCATAAATGTTCATAGAACAAAGGACTATACCAGGCATCACAAGAGGGTCCTAAGATGAGTAAAAGACAACTCCCCTGCCCTCAAGGCCCAGCAGGCTAATAGGAGGAGAAAATTAGGGAGGAGATAAGTCAAATATACAAATGCTGGGGTATAAGAAAGGCTGCAGTAAGTATCACAATGATGTTAATGTTTAAACAGCAGCAGGAAAATTCTGTGGATGAGAAATCATCCTATAAGAATAAATGCAAGTTGTCATCCTGTATGAACATCAGGACCTTTAGTACAAGTTGGTCTCCAAATACAAGGTCTATTCTCTACTCCTCCTCTTTGCTCACCCTCCTAAATTCAGACAAGTTCTCCAAAATAACTGTAAGGCAAAAGGTGTTGGAGGGAGAAAGTTAAAAGATGTAATAACTCACCTTCTTGCTTTTCTAAGCTGTCTTTGCCTGCACAGCAGTGTAGATGGTCATCAGCTGGAGAAAAAACTTCAGAGAAATTGAACTCGTCCTCTCCTGTCCACCAGCCTTGCCTCTGAGCATAACTCCTGAGCTCAGGATGCTCTGCATCGATCTTGGTGGTGAGTGAGAGCTGATTGCAGATGCACCTGACGCCCTCTGCAGAGAGTGCAAGGCCCAGTTAGTTGGAAATACACTTACAAAGACTTAATCAAGAAATGTAAATTTACAGGGAATCCCTCCCCTGCAACCTGACTTTAACTACAGGGATGGAATAAATTTCTTTTTTGAAGAGAGAAACAGACAGTCCTTGGTCCTTTTCTGAGAAGATCAGCTACATTAGTTGGTCAGAAGGTTTGACCACATTACCACATTGTAAATGAGCAACAATTACAAGATCTTAAATTTATAATCAAAAGGAAACATGTGAGGTCCCTCCTTCTGGCTAAATAAATCCATACATTTACTACTTATAAGAAAAGTGAAAGGTTCTTTGAAAGAAGCATTGAGCAACTAACAAGACTTGTGAATGTCGCAACCATGGAGAACCTTCCTCCCCAGTTTAGTCTTGCTCTACCTGAAGAACACCTTCCACCACCACCTCCCACCCATATATGTGTGTAGTTTTTTAAAAAATACAAATATGATCCTTCTTCATTCAATTATTTTTTCAGGTCCCGAAATTTAGAAAAACAGTGTGGCCCTGATAATGAATAGTGTTAAACTAACAGAATGTACCTGGATATAGCATGTTCCCGTGTCACGTGTGCATGTGAGAAAAATCTATGGGAATTTTTTTCTCATAAAAATATAAGAATAGCTAGATACATCTGGAATCAGGGCTGCCTGCTTTCTGAGGACAACCCTGTGAAGAATGTGGGTTAGGGCACCTGTTCTCCTATGTGCTGGAAGGCTGGCTATGGCTTCTTCAAAGCCTGAGCTACAAATACAGCGAGGATAACCTGACCTTCAAGCTTCAACACAATGTCCAGATCACGAGGAAGTATTCACTTATAGCTCAAAACAGCCATTCATGGTGGCTGCTTCCAGGGAACATGTTTATCTTCTAAATTCTTGGAGAATGAAGTAGAGAAGGACAGCCTGGACTGCAAGCTGCACGGAAGCCATTACTGCCTGAAAACCAGCTCCTGGAGGCAGGGTCAGGGCTGGGCTGAGTTCCTTCAGCATCTTCTGCCTCATCAATGTGAGCATGCCTGGCCGATGTCCTCTGCCTTCTTCTTTTTAGAGGTCACCAGAAGTGTAAAATTATTTTTTAAATCAAAATAAATAATAAATTTTTAATTATTTAATAAATAATAAATAAGTGATTTTGACATTATTCACACTAAGATATTTTTAAGACTTGTGAATAACTCCACATGTTATTTTCCTAGAAGGCTGATTATAATAGACATTTGCTTTCAGGAATTTTAGCATTTGAGGGCCAGAGTTCATTAACTCCTACTGCAGTCACACGACTGCTGAGATTAGAGGACATGAAATCAATGAGTCCAAGGAATGGCTGGGGTTTTTCCCCTTTAAATATTTAGTGAAAGGGGACATGCATTTTGATGAGATGGGTTTTTAAGTTGTACTTTGAAGTGAGACTAAGCTTTTGAATGCAATTATAGATTTTAAAAAAGTTTTACATTCTACTTAAAACAATATGATTGTCCTTCAGCATGGACCAATAGCCTTCTTGGTGGAACTACGTAATGGTAAGACTTCATTTTAGAAGAGATTTGTTTAAGGGAGTCTTAAGTTCTTGCATCGAAGGAGGCTTGGAGACCTGGCAGGCCACACCAGCTACATTAGTTTTGTAACTACTGTGGAAGTAGGGCAGGCAGGCACACCTGGGTGTATGTGGGGTGTACGTGGGTGGAGAAATGCTCTGAGATTGCCTCAAGGTGCAATCCCTTGTGAGAATGAGAAGAAATCGCCTCCTCCTCCAGGCAGACACGGCCTTTGCACGGCTTCGTCAAGAAACCACGGCTAGATCTCACTGCCTCACTGCCTCCACGATGCAGTAGATCTTCTGCTTCTAACACAGCTTAGGTTTGGTTCCAGTCACGCTTCAGGCAGAGATGGCAAACAGGTGTCATCCCTGACATCATTTCTGAGGAGCTGGAAGAGACTTCCTGGCAAGTTCAGTTGAGAAAAATACACAGACCAAGTATAGGTTCAACAAGAGAAGAGTTCTGTAGCCATGTCTTCCACTGGCATGAGAGCAGAGAAATGCTGTGGACGTGATTTGTATTTGTCTTCCAGGCCTCAGGATATAAGGGGGGCTTCACTGGCCAATCCTTTCTTAGAACTCTTTAGCCCTCTGGAAGCCCTGTAACCCACTCTGGGATTCCATCCTGTGCAGAATATGAGGGTGCTGAGGCAGTGATACAAGACAGCCATTCCCTCCCCCAACCCCCCAACACACACACAATATTTCCTTCCTCAGAACTATCTTAGAACAAGATGCTGCAGGAAGCACGGAGCAGTAATTTATTGGGCAGTAAATCCTTCTGGGTGGATTTCCTAGCCTCTGCTGTTCTAGAAACATTGCTCCCAGCGACATGGCTTGTTGGCCCAGAGGAACTCAACAGTTTGCAGACAAATCCGAATTCCTCTGTTAGGGGAACATTCCAAGCACAAAGAGCTATAGGACTGGGGTGATCAGGGCAGCTCCCTGTTGTAGTAATTCATTGACCTATTGTCAATGGAATGGAAAAAATCACTATTCCCTTGACCAATTCATCGAGAAGCAATTTGGATCATGAAACCACTAGTGGTCTGAATTGGGTCCTGTCCAGAAAGCAAACAGAAAATAGGAAATGTTAGGAGGATGCTTCCCAAGTGGTGACCTCCCTTCCCTCCGGGTTCAGAAGACTCTAGCTTCCTCTCTAGAAGATTCACGGCAGCACAGAGAGGGTCTCCAGCAGCAGCACGAGTCCTGTGAGCCCATCCATCCCAGCCTTCTCTGCCCATGAAGCTCTTCGCTATCCACGCCCCCTCACCTGTGACTTTCTCAGCAGCCCAGTACTTCCCTACGGTCTCGAGCACCCAGGCCTCCTCATGATCCACAATCAGATAAGCACTCTGGAAGCTGTGGCAGGAGCCTGCATCTTCATAATAATTCCCACCTTGCCCGTGTTCTTCCAACAAGGCGACGATGACATCTAGGGCTTCCTTGGCTGTTGACCCTCTTTCTAAACCAAGCCTGGAGTAAGGAAACCAGAGGTATAGCTCAGACATTTCGTACCATGCGATTATTACCATAGCAACCAAAGATTGGGACGAGGCTGAGTTACAAAGTGCACCAACATGTGTAAATATGTTAAATACGCAGGCCAATATGCAGGCAAATGAACAGTGCTCTCACACGTTTGGTTCAAAGTCATGGGGGTGTTTTCTGTCTTTGGGCATCCTCCACCCACACAGGACCGCAGTGGCTCTGTCTCCCAGGGAGCTGGCAGGCTCTGCTCTAGCTCTTAGCAGACCCCTTCTGTAGGCTTATTCTCCCTCTTGCCTCTACTCTCCTGCCTCTGGGCAAGAGGAAATCTCTGCCCCATCCAGCCTTGTTCTCTGTTATGCTACATCAGGTAGATTGGTTAGTAATAAAAGTGTTCCACAGCCAGCCATTGTCTTCAGTGCATATAACTGTCTCAAGAGACCTCAGTAGGAAAGGGCTGCTGGTTAGGACGCAATCAATCCTTTTCTACATATTTCACCTCCTGCCTATCAGCGTATCTCTGCTGGGGTGGCTTACAGCTTCGGTTGTCCAAAAGCACGTATTTCTCTTGAAGCGAAACAGCAATCTCCTCCCAGCCCTTCCAATTTATAGACCCCTAAGAGAGGGCACAGATCTTGTCCTCCATGTGACCTTGGGAAAGCTACATAATCTATTTAAACTTCAGTTTTATGTCACCTATAAAATAAGAATCTATATCATTGGGTTGCTAGGAGGATGGGTTTTATGAAAAAATGACCATGAAAATACATAGCACAAGGGCCCAAGACCAAGTAAGTGACCAGTAAGTTGTGAGAGGTAGCACACTGTGATTAAAAAACAGTTGACTGAGAAATAAAGGGACCCATGTTCAGTTCTGGTTCTGCTACCCACGGCAGCATGACCCTAAGTAACCGAGCCTTTCCGAACCTGGTTTTCTCATCTGTAAAGTGAAAACAGTACGACTTCCCTCTCTGGCTGATTTGAAAGAGGAAGGCACATGCTAAGTCCTCAGTAACTGCCCATTTATTCATCTCTTCATTCAAATCACAACTCTGGTGGCCGGAACAGGGTCTTAGAAGGAGGTGATGGAGCCGGCCATAAGGGAAGAACAGGCCAGTTCTTGGTGAACATTCAGTGTGAGAAGCAATCATTATTAAAATTCACCCAGCTGGATTCTTCCTGAAGGGACATGTATTTCACTGGGCTGCCAGGGAGAAGAAAAGGTGACAGGCTACGGATTTATTCTTGTAAGAGGCTTATTTTCATAGTCAGAAAATTATATATCAATTCACTTGGCATTTCTCCGTTTAAGCTTATTTAGGAAGACTTGGTGCCAAGGCAATGATTTGTGAAGCTGCATCCTAAGACCCTAAGAGAGCGATAAAAGACTAAACCCATTAGAAGATTGCAGTAAGTCAGCTTTCCATTAAAGTGGTGACCTTTGCCAGTGCTGTAAATCCAATGCCACAAATACTACGATAACTCAAAATGCAAAGTGATCAATGATGCATACAAGGGGCAGACTTCTCATCGTTAACTCTCTAAGTGCAGGATTTCTATGAAGGATGGTGGTAAAAATATTGGGACAGCTGTCAAACATAACCTCAAAACTTGTTACTCATAATTTCATTCTGTTAAGAGAAAACTCATGGTAATCATGAGGATTTTTCCTCTTCTCTAGCTCAGGGTACCTGCTCCTCTGAGTTTGTAAGAACCAGGAAGAGTGAAGACAGGCGAGGCAGGCACAAAGGCCACATGCTACCAAAAGGGTGTCACCAGCAGGCCCATCCATCGTTCGGCAGAAGCGGTGGACCACAGAGGTCTCTGTGTAAATGTGCAATTTCTCCGTACAAAACCTACAGAATGTGAACATCGGCACTCCTTTTTACAGGATGTTAGCTTTGGGGGGGTTCGTTAGAAGTCATCCAATCTAAGGCCTCACATTGGACAAATGAGGAAACCGGAGCCCAGAAAGGGGATGTAACTTGGTGTATCTACACTGAAAACCCTAGACCAGTGGTCGGCAAACTCATTAGTCAACAGAGCCAAATATCAACAGCACAACGATTGAAATTTCTTTTGAGAGCCAAATTTTTTAAACTTAAACTATATAGGTAGGTACATTGTTATTAACTTAATTAGGGTACTCCTAAGCTGGCCTTTGCTAAAAACATCCTCAATCTGATTGAGGTATCTTCGCTAAGGTATCTTCCAACTCTCCCATCCACACTCGTCTTGTGTACTTGTTTTGTCTATCTCCTTTCATTCATCCTCTCTATATGTCCAAACCATCTCAACATACCTTTCTCAGTCCTCGACACTACATCTTCTTTCACTCAACAACATTCCCTAAAATTAACTTAATAAGCTTTACTTAAAGTTTTAAGTCAACTTTGCACCATATGTGCGCTCCTGCATGTGGTATTTTGTAGAAGAGCCACACTCAAGGGGCCAAAGAGCCGCGGTTTGCCGACCACTGCCCTAGACCCTGGCTCCCACCTAATCTTCTTTCAACTCTGTCCGAGACTCCGTTGTGTTTCACTATCTCAGAAAAAAGAAAGCCATCTCAGAAAGTTGTTTCATTCCAGCCCACCCTCTACTTTAGTCACTCATTCTTAACTCCGTCATTGTTTGCCTGCTATGCGCCAGGCACACGGGTCCTGGTGCTTGTGACACAGTAGTGACCAAGCAGACAAGGACCCCTGTCCTGTGGATCCCTTCTGTCATGTGGTGGCTGGAAGAGCAGGGAAAGGAAGGAAAGATGACTGAAGTGTAGAGGAGGAAGGAGGGAAGTGAGCTCTGACCTTTTCTGCTTGGATCTTGTCTTATTTTATATGTTTCCTTGTTCTTTTATATATTTTAAATATATTTCAAATACCATAAACTTCACCCATTTAAAGTATACAGTTTAGTGGTGTTTAGTTATATTCACAAATTTGTGCATCTATCTCCACAATCTAACTTTAGAACACTTTCAACACCCCAAAAAGAAGCCCCGTATCATTAGGAATCACTCCCACCCCCTGAGCAATGACTAATCTCCTCTCTGTTTCCATGAATTTGCCTATTCTGGCTACTTCACAGAAATGGCGTCATACAATACGTGCCCTCTTGTAGCTGGCTTTTCTCACTTAGCATCATGTTTTTGAGATTCATTATGCTGTAGCACATATCAGTACCTGATTATTTGTTGTTGCTGAATAATGTTCCACGGTAATCTATTCTTTTTCTTTTCATCACCTCAAAGTTTATATCAAGTGGCACACACATTCTCTGGAAGGATTGTGTTACGAAATATGAGGTTTGGAGGGAGGTAAATGCTGTGCCCACCCCCTCACCACACATACCTGACCAGATCCATCCCCAGCAAGGCTTCCGTCTCGGCGGCCGGTTCCCTGGCATTGACCGCTTCGTTGGCTATGCACACTCCATGTTCATTGGCTCCCATTTCTGCCCCCCAAAGCCAGGCAGGTCTGCTTATCACAATGGCATGGGTCTTGGGAACTTGGTCGACGGAAATGTAAGTACACTGGAACATGAAGACAGGAAAGAAAGGGCCATCAGCTGTCAGGTACCACTAGTTTTCACCTTGGCACTTACACTGAACCACCACATCGGCTACAGACAGACCAAATGAATAAATAAGTAAAGTCAAGGCCTTGAGAATACTGGACTTCAAAGACACCCCAAGTCTCAGTGCAGCTCACAGGTCTCCATGGTGACTGTTGTCTTGCCAGCCACTTGGTTTTCAGCCTCTTTGTTTCCAGACAGTCCTTCCATGAGGCTCATATCTATGGCGGTCATCTTCTTGAACCAGGGGCCAGCCACTCTGAATATTCCTTGGCTGGTCATTTCAACAGACACAGATGAGTAGCAGCATTTCAAACAAATAGTTACTTATTCTTATTTGCAAAGATCCTTCTCTATCAGAGGTTTCAAATATTATTAACAGTAGAGAGCCCTATGTGTAAAAGATACTGTACCTGGAAGCCTGACATAGAAAACAGACAAAAGGGAAGAGGCTTTGTCTGAAGAAGGGAGATCCCTAAGCCTCCTGCAATGACCCCTAGGGTTCCCTGGAACACCGTTTGACAACCTACACGATTGCTCCAATAGTAGGAAAGAGAAAATGACAATACCTTACATTCCACTAGTGCATTCAACTCACACTCTCTTATACACTGTGCTTCCCTGTCTGTGCTGCCTATGAGGTGAACACAGGAAACAGTCCCAAAGAGTGGATTTCTAACTGCTGTTGAACTGCAGTGCACGCATGGGGAGTGGCGCGTCTTACCTTCTCCAGGGTGCTGGAAAACGAATGAGCCCATCTAAATCTAACTATTTCTTTCAAAGTGTCTTCGTCCTCAGAACCCTTCCTTCACACAAACTCTTACGTGGAAGCATGACGACAATAAAAATGCTCAAAGTGTATTGAGAGGCAAATGGAAGAATAGGCGTGGGACTGGGGTTGGTAATTCTGAGCCTTACCTGCTGATTCCTCCTCTTCCCTCCCCACTTTGGGCCCCATGGGAGAGCTCGGCTGGAAACTAACCCAGGTTATCCAGAGGGGCCTCTACCCGGATGGTCTAGCCGTCTAGCCATCCTCCGTGTGGTGGATGCAGTGTTGAAATCATGGCTCTAAATTACACAGAGCACTTTAGCTCTCCAGGGAGAATTTTATCAAGGACAGCAGCCATTTACATTTTAAAGGAGGACGCTGAAAGCATTGGATCAACTGCAGCCTAAGATCTTTTTTTTTTTTCCGACTGAAGACACAATTTTATCGGCTGAATGCTGCCCAATCTTCTGCATTGATTTCCCATAATCTCTAAACCACAGGTAGCAGAAATGCACACTCGTTGGCCACGTGACATCTGTATCTCCGCCATCCATGATTAGATATTGCTGTGCCCTGGGATAATGTTATTTCACTTGACAAATATTTGTAAACTGAAAGCTAATGAAATCTGGAGGTTGTCAAGACAACCTGGAATTTTTCATGAAAAATGAATACTAAAGTATACCCTTGAAATGTTTTCTCTTATTTGGTTGCCAAACGTCATTTACTTTACAAAAAATGATTCTTTTAGAGCAAAACCTGGCCAACACAGTAAACCATTAAACTATGGTCCTCTGTGCTTTTCTACATGTAAATGAAGTTTACATCTTAAAATTGCACACTTTTATGTAAAAAATAGTTCAGGCATTGACCAACACTTTCCCAAACCCCCGTGCATGCTGAGCTCCTGTGACAATTCTGTCTTGAAACAACAAGGAAGCAGGAAGGGATCTCAGGCTCTTAAACACAGATATCATAATTTTTTACAGGCAGAAAAAAGGGGAAAATAGGAAGTGGGTTTACTTATTGGCCCTCAAGTGCATTTTTACACATTCATTTCCACTTCACCGGTTATTTATAGCGCACCAGCCACACACAAGGTGCTGTGGGCTAAGTGCTGCTGGCAGATCAATCAATGAGCTGTCCAGTCCCCATCCTTCTGGTTGGGAAAGAAGAAGAAGGCACAACTGCTCATTACTAGGACCCCAGGCCCGCCTCTGGGAGCGTCACTGAGGCCTGTCTATTAATATGTGCTGCTTCTTGCCCCCACCTCCTCCTGGGACCTCTGGTCAATGCAATCCTGCTCTGCTTTTTCTTTTTCACACTCCATTCCATTTATCAACTTCTAACTGACTTATGTACTGCATGTGCGGCTGATGTCTGCTACCTCCACCAGAGCAGGGAGGTGTCTCTGTTGTTCAGTTCATTGCTATGTCCCAAGTCTGGTACAAACTAGGCATCAATAAACCTTTCTTTGAATGGATGAGTGAGTGGATGAATGAACGAATGAATGAATGAATAACAAAAGTTAGAGGGAGCATAAATAGAGATTGAAAGGAAAGAGGGAACACATCCTAGTGGTCAGCAGCTTTATCAAGTAGGTGACATTTGCATTGATCTTGAAAAATGAACCAGACATCAAGGTATTCCAGACAGAGGTCAGAGCCTGAGAAGAGGCAGATGGGGGTGTCAAAGGTGTGCTCACCGTCAGGGAAGTCCCCTCCTGTACCACGCAGGAGAACCGCTGTGACATCACTGAGTCACAGAACTGCAAGAGCTCAGAAAGTGATGCCTGAGAAAAATGTTGACAGTTGAATCAGAAAGACCATATGGTCTTTGTGGGAGTTCAGAATATATGCAGCCAACTTCTCAGGCCAAACTCAGAATGAGGAGGAAGGAAGGAGATCCCCAAGCAGCCAGATGGGCAAGTCAGTCTCTCCTAAGCAGTGGGTGGAAAGCTGACACCCCAGGTGCCCCTCATATGCGACAGAGCAGGTGGCAGGGACATGGGGTGTGGCCCTACCCAAGCCTTGGCCAGCCTGGAACACCTACCCCGCAGGGCATCTTTGTCAGGAACCACAGAAGCCTGGGCCTAACATGGGCCCTTCGGTGGCTGCAGTTCACACACACGCTATTGTGTTTGCAACCTGACTAATCACATCCAGGTCTGGGAGGGGATGGGAGGACGGACCCGCTGGGCTCATATAGACGGGTTATTTAAAATCCCACTTCAGGAGCAAGCCTCGAAACAAGGAACACTTGCACAAGGTGTAATCAGCTGAACTTTGCAAAGCCAGCTGCCTAGAACATGAACACCACAGGCAAATAAAATGTGGTGGGTGTCTTTTGTTTGTCTTTATTTAGACTCATCTGAACCTTAAGGGCATATTTTCAAAGCCAGTCAAGTAGCAGACAAGACACTGGGATTAAAAAAACCCAACACACATAAAAATTCCTATATAATAAAAGGCTAATATGCAAATTGTTCCTTCGACCGGAAGTTCGACTGGGAGTTCAGCCAGGAATTCGAACAGGGGGCGGGGCTGGCCGGCCAATGGCCTTCACGTTTGCCACGTTATTGACGAGGCAGAGGGTAAGTGGGGTGTGAAGGAGCAGAGGCCTCACCAGGAAAAAAATCCAAAAAAGCACCTGAAATCTTTCAGTGTGCCAAAAACATTGTAGTTCCCCCAGTCAAAACTCCTAGCCACATGTCTATCAGAAAAGAAAAAGAAAGCATTCACCCCTTAAAAGATCAATCTTTACAGGGATGTCGCTGGCATCGGCTTCGGTTACTAAGCTGTGAAAGCGGTGAGCAAATTGTCTTGCTGCCCCACTTCCACTCCTAACCAGCCTTTAGTGAATCAGATCTGTGGGCCAGTGTGACTTCTGGGGGCCAAGGCCACACAATGATAGGAGAGTGCCCAGAGTGGGGGGCGTGGGGGCAGACTTCTAAATGTCAGAACTGCCCGATCACGAGGTTTTAAAGGTATTCCCTGAATTTAGCTTGCCACTCACTCGGGTGGCTCCTGGGGACACATGCCGGGTCAGAGGATAAAAAGATGAGCCTTGACAAGGCCCTAGAGACAAGGACAGAAGACAATTCTTCTGCAGAGCAAGTCCTCTATTGTGTGTGATTGTCTCAAAAATGAAAAAGCAAGATCAGCTTCATGCTGTCGCCTGCCCCTTGCACATTCCAACACATACTATTTCTGGATCTCACCCCATGGAAGGAGGGCATAGACACACACAATGGACGCTTCACTTTGTGAAACATGGCCATTGTGCCTCTCCTCCGGGGCTCAGCGGGGCGCAGCGCCCTGGCACCACCGGCGAAAGCCAATGAAATGAGTTGATGAGTCAGCCAGACTTCTTAGGGTAGGAGAAGGAAAGGCAGGGAAATGGGATGCTTCAGAGAAATATTTTTAGTTTTGGAAAATTTGCAACTCTAAAGCAGCCTTGCTAATTATCACTGAGAGTTTTTGCTTAGTTCATTGGTGTGGGTTTCACTTATTTACTAGAGGCCCGGTGCACGAATTTGTGCACAGGTGGGGTCCAGCCAGCCCAGCCCAATAAGGAACGATCAGGCTGGGCCAGCTGCAGGGAAGGGCCATTGGCCAGCCACCCCCACCCTCTGATGGGGGGGGGGGCATGATTGGGGGCAGAGGTGGCTAGGGGGAGGGGCTGTGGGCCATTGGCCAGCCAACCCTGCCCCCTGTTCGAATTCCTGGTTGAACTCCCAGTTGAACTTCCAGTCGAAGGGACGATTTGCATATTAGCCTTTTATTATATAGGAATTTTTATGTGTGTTGGGTTTTTTTAATCCCAGTGTCTTGTCTGTTACTTGACTGGCTTTGAAAATATGCCCTTAAGGTTCAGATGAGTCTAAATAAAGACAAACAAAGACACCCATTACATTTTATTTCCCTAAAGCTGTAAGATGATTGAGGACAGGCAGTGCAAGGCCTGGGGTCAGAAGCAGGCTTGGGAGAGGGTATATGATAGAAGGACGACCCCTGCTAAGCCACACTCCCCTGGGGCGAGGGAGATGCTCCCGCCTCCACACAAGACTGGGAACTCCTGCCCCTGGGAATGAAGAGAAGAAAACAAAACAACAAACAGACAGAAGTGGTGCACTCTCCCCGCAGCGGCCATAGAGCTGTGCTCAGCTTCCTTTGATTCCAGAATGACCT